ATACTTAAGCCATTAAATTCTACGTAAAAAGTTGTTTTGGAAATGTTTTCATAAAAATACAAAATTTTCCACAGCAAAAGAATTACAGCGATTTGTAAAAAATGCATATTTTTGAAAAACACCCCGTAACTTCGAAACGCTAACAGATATCGATATGCGGTTTTCACCATCATGTTTTTGATCTATCTCCTATAGAAAAGGTTGTTTCCATTTAAAAGTGTCGAATTTGACCCACCCTATACATTTGGCTATATTTAGGTACTTAATTGGCTCTGCAAGTTCGAGCGGTTTAGAATGCCTAAATTTGGAAAAAAGTTGAAAATAATGAAAAAAAAAATTTTTTGTTTTTTAAAAAATTTTAATTTTTTTGACATATCTCAAAAACTAACCAAGATACGTAAAAAATGCAATAGAGAAAAATTGAAGCTCTTTTTCTTTGCAACATTTTTGCTCCTTTTTAATTTTTCTGTAGATCTATTTATTTCATAGATATTAAGTTTTTTAGTTTGACTTGCATGTAAGGACCACCTTCTTTGAGTATTTAAAACCAGGGTTGGCATGATTTAAATCATGATTTAAATCGTGATTTAAATCAAGTGATTTTTTTAATTTTAATCATGGGATTTAAATCAAAAAATTAATTTTATTGAAACTTTATAATAAATCAAAAAATAACTGTAAAAGTTATAAAAACCTATCCTAGAAAACTATAAAAAATTTCTGTCGAGAACCGATTTGTACACTCGTTGAATTTGACACCTAATATCAGTTTAATCATATATTTTTGTTCTTTTGTGCTTAGGCGTAACAGTGCTTTACTTTTATGCCTATGGCCGATAAAATGACAAAAATTAATACTTTTGAGACGTTTGAAAAAAATCCTTTTGATCTGAAGCGAGCGACATTTTTGCGGAATATATTGGTGACATTCATTCAAAGAGTTATTAAGATTTAGTCATTTAGGATAGGACTTTAATTGGAAATAAGTCCTAGTCATTTGGAAATCCGATTTAAATATTGTTTTGAATTAAAATCAAAAAAATCTGATTTAAATCAAAAAAATCCGATTTAAATCAAAAAAATCTGATTTTTTGGATTTTTTTTAAAAAAATCATGATTTTTTCCAACCCTGTTTAAAACCCAAAAATCTGGTGAAAATGTAGAGTTCAAGACTGTTCAACTATAGAGGTTAATTTGTAGCTCGTATAATTTCCTACAAATTGATAGTTTTTATTTTTATGATTTTAGTCACAGATTTTGTTGTTAATTTTTTCCGAAAAAATGAGGTGACCATTTCATTTTTATCATAACTCTTTTTATCATAACACATTTTTATCACTACAAACTTGAAAAGACCTTTAAAAAGGCATTAAAGGCATTTAAAAGGTCGTTTCAAGCACTTTAAAAACGGCCATATTCATTTTCTTCGAAAAATATGTTCTTTCGCCATGATTTTATGGTAAAAGGTTGTAATTTAGTTTTCGAAAAATAAAGAATCAAGTTTACAGAGTGAAAACTCGGCTATTACTACACCTATGGTAAACAACAAAAAATGAATCGATTCGCTATTCCGAAGGCTTCAGTTTTGCTTTATACGAGTTTTGCGATAAAAGGCAAGATTTTCGAGTTATTTATAAAAAATTGTAGAAATATATGCATATTTTCAATCCTCAATAACTCGGAAAATATTAAATGTTTTAGAACATTTTTTGCTTAGAATTCACCCCTTTATTGATTTTTGTAACTAAAATGGGTGATCTATTTTTCACCCCCGAGAAGGGGTGACAATCACCCCCAGGGTGAAAGCACACATCGCTACTATGTAACGTTTGTTTCTTACACATATCTCTATTCACTGTTAAAATTTCACGTCAATCGGTGCTGGTGTCAAGAATTCGGAGGTAATACCCTATTTTTATCCTCTCTTACTGGCCTACTAGACGAAGCAATAAAATTGATAGTACTAACAAATTCAAGATCATGGAGAAGATCGAGATATTTCCTCAACTAATCACCAAAGAGCTAGAATTTTTTAGAATTTAGAATGAGTGGGAGGGGGGTTAATCACTTCGACCTTACAGATCCATTGTGTCCCCCTTTCTTGAATCATAACTCATCATACAGTCCCAGGGCTTTGACAAAAGCCAGTATCTGGGACGGTTTTATAGAGGGTAGTTCTCCATCTCCAATATCAGTCGTACCAAAATTCATGGCACGAATGGTTGTCGTCTCGGCGCACTCAGTGATGAGGTGTACTGGTGTTTCACCATCTTCCCCACAGAATCTGCATTCGCCGTTTCTTCTTAGTTTCAATCTACTGAGGTGTTCATTGAGGAGACAGTGTCCTGTTAAAAACCCCGTGACATCCGAAGATTGTTCTTACTCAGACCCAGGAAGATCTGTGATTTTTCTTGATCATAAGCCCTCAGAAACTTCTTCGAGTGTCCTAGACCATTGCAAGATTTCCATTCCAGGTTGCGGATGGAATCTTCCAAGTTCTTGAGTTCCGCCTTGAGTTGGTTACCACTTGGAAAGCAGAACGGTTCTGGTCCAGTTAGTGGAGTGTTCGCTCCTTTCCTAGCTAGATTATTTGCTTTTTCATTGTTTTCTATCCCTTGGTGAGCAGGCACCCAGTGTAGGAGGACTTTGTTTTCTTTGCCTAATTTATTCAACTTCTCTATGCATTCTTTGACCAATTTCGAATTGATTGATACTGAGTTGATCGCCTTTAACGCTGCTTGACTATCAGATAAGATGGCTATTTCTTGTTTCCGATAGTTCCTATCTAAGATAAGTTGTACGCATCTCTCGATAGCGTAGATTTCTGCCTGTAGGATACTAGGGTAAGTGCCCATTGGTTCGGAGTAATTAGCTCTCGGCCCAAACACTCCGATCCCTGTTCCCGTATTGGTTTTGGAAGCATCAGTATACCAAGTTATGGTATGGTCTTTTAACTGCTGGGCAAGAGTTTCGCTCTTCCAATCCTTCTTATTGCTCAATACTACATTGACATGTTTGTCAAAGTTGTACGTTCTTGGCATATCGTCCACTGGGAGTTGCAGAAGTGATCAAAGAGCTAACATCGCTAGTAGTAATGCATTGAAATTTAATTACTATCATTTACGAATGAGAATATTAATTTTCTGTTAAAACATTTGATAAAATATTATAGATGAGATTAATTATTTTCTAAAAATTTGTAATTGGGGAATAACTTGTTTGTTCTTCAATTAAAATTGTCAACTGTCCCGCGACATGAGACAAATCTTTATCTTTTACCCTAATCGTGACAAACATAAACATTAAGATAACATAATTATAGTATATATTAAAAAGTGCGATTTTCCTTTATTTACATGAATCTTGTACCAGCAAATATAAATATAATTAGATAGTAATTATTATAACCTTAAAGTTACAACAAAGAAAATTTCAGATTTTACTCATCTAACTCTTTGTTGACCAATGTCCAACATACAGGGTAGCGCTTCTCATACGCCGCGGAGGTTCCAAAGAAAACGACAGTTTGTATTGAAATTAAATTTTGTGAGCATATGTAGATTCATTCAGAGCATTTTTTAAAAATATAGAGAGTTCTACAGGGTGTCTCCAAAAAAAGTTACACATCAAAGTTGTATTTTTTGTAATGGAATACCCTATATATTGATTGATTTTCGGATTCTGGGAGAAAAATAAAGGTGAGTTTTATAAGAAAAGTATATGACTAAAATGTAAGGTTTTTGACACATTTAACATTTTCTAGAAATAAAGAACAATTTTTAAATTACAATAAAAGCTACCTCAATTGGAATTTACCCGGTATAGCCTAATATGTAGTTAAAATAGCTATTGTACTTTAAATCAAATTAAAACTTGATCCAAATAGTTACACAGGGTGAGACAAAATTAATATTGATAATTGGTCACATTTAAAAGCATGTTACTCTTTTATTTTAAATGGAACACTCAGTATATTATTCCGATATTCAAAGGAGAATTAATGTCTCTTCAAAATACTATTTAAGGTTGCCTACCCCTCAAACAAAGATTTTCCTATTATACAGGCTTTCGCCTATGAAGCGAAGGTCCGTGGTTCGATACTGGCTGGGGGTGCAACTTTTTTATTTTTTTTTCGTTTATATTCTGATAGTAAAGTAATAAATATTTGCTGACACTATAATATTAAATAAAAATATTTAATTCAATTATAATACAAATTAGATTGTAATGATTTAAACATAATGTCTAAAAATAAAACTAAAAATGTTGCCCGTAATTTTTTCTTGCCTCATTCATAAAAATATTTAATTCTTTAATAATTTCATTTTAAAGATTTAAACATAATATATAAAAATTAACATTTCAATGCTTTATTAACGTAATTTCTGCCTGTCTTTCTTCAAAATATTTTTTTCAGCTGTTGTTTATTATTTTAATAATCATTTTAATAATACTTTTTTTAACAGATTGTTATCTAAAAGCTACACAAGTTTATATTCAGTTCAGTTTGTAAGATAACGATGGAAAACAAAATTATATCTGGTTAAATTAAATAATTCTTCTTTTATGTATTATTTTTATTTATTTTCAATTTCAATTTGCACACTTTATTCGATAAAAATGTGTCATTGGTAGATTGTGCAAGGACTTTGTTATCAAATTACAATACAAAATAATAATTATTCAATTATAATCCAGTAATTTTTTAGTACTAATATTATGGTATTTGATTATATATTAAATATTCCTCTGTTTGTCAGACTATTTATCATTTAGTACTTTTAGACAATTAAATTAAATCATTAACACAAATCAAACAATAATCACATGATAAACATTTTACTGAAAAAAAAATAGCAGTGTAAGATATCACTGAATTAGGTTCTACTGTAAATTTTTAATATGATAAAAATATTGCTTCACTTACAAAAGTATTACTGCTTTGAGAATTTCAGAATTTTTGTTTTTTTGATATAAAAATAAAATATCTTAATATTTACCCAAGTGATTTGTTGGCCATTGCACTCGTAATACGCGGTACTAATAATAGATAAAAACACTTTGTTGTAAAATTGGAAAAATACGCACACAGAACGAGACACCAAGTGGATCTGTTATTGTTCTGCACTTTTATTAAATGGAGATAAGATTAAAATCCTAAGTACACTGTAATAACCAAACCAAACAATGTGAACTTAATCTTATTATCAACAGTGTTGGAGAATACTAAACGTTTTCCTGTTTTTGGCCGTAGCAAGGTTAATTTAAGGTCTAAACTTGCAAATAATCTCTAAAAATATGATGTGAAGGAATACTGGCAACATTTCCTTGAAACCAAGTGATGCGCCGTTGCCGCATTGATCATAACAATAACACTTCAATTTACTTAAACAATTAAAAACAGTTCGTATTTTCCTTGTATAGACACCTACCGTAAAAATACAGCTATGTTAAGTTATATTTTCTGATAATATTCAAAAATGTTGCAGGAATTAGTCAGAAACCTGCTAGTTTTTTGACAAGCTGGCAACGTTGATGCTTACTCATCGATATAACTCCTAGCGGGAAATCTTTGAATTAATTCCTGCAGGGTTATAACTCGAGGTCAGCCAGCTGACAGCAGGAACGGATAGAAATACTGAATTCTCGGCTAGCAGGAAATGTGCGGTAGTTCGACTATCGGCCGCTAGGTGGGGCAAGTAGTGCGCTACTTGTATTTTATTATTTTAATAGAAAATCTTCTGTTCTTAAATGAATGCATTTGGTGAAACACCTAGACCGTTAAATGTTGGAATTAGAGAACATAAGGGCGATTTTTGCAAATTTTGTCAGCATTCATGGAACACAAGGCACAGAATAAAATTTTCTTTTTTTTTGTTCTTTGTGTTTATTTTTTGTTTCTAACGTTGAGTATTTTTTGTCGGTTACGCAAATTTGTTTTATTAGTAAAATATTGTTGGAAAATCGGTCTCCGTTAGATTATCGCAATGTCGTTTAAGAAAAATAAATTTTTATTTAGTAGGTTTTCTTCTATTGGCGAAAAATCCGCGATGTTTTTTCAAGATATTTACACGAAGTTGCACGAACGAGTTTTGCTTGCTTTGGTTTCAACTTTTTTTTGTTATTGTCTCTTTTTGTTTTGTTAATACGAATTTGATAGCAGTCTTTGATTGATTGAATGTCAATGCCCTGTGTCATATCTTAAAATCATAGGTTTAAATCCTATGTAGCGTCAAATACTTATTTTTTATACAAGATGATAATGCAATTTTATCGTCGTGTATAAAACAATATTTTTTCAAGGAATTTATTACGAGTAGAAAAAATATTGTGCTGGGTTGGCGTTGGTTTCTATGAAATTTGACAAATAAATAAAGCTGTCTCTTTTGTTGTCAGTTTTGAGTCAAAATTTTTTAATTGTCTTTCGTGTCGATTGCTGATTGAATTGGAGCCAGAAATGGCTGAAAACGAAATAAATAAATTACCAACAGATGTTCAGGCTGAGGCGACAAACGCCATATCCAAACTACTTCCATTTAAATCCCGAATAACTTATGAAAAGGAATACAAAGATTTTCAAAAATGGAAGCAATTAAAAAACGTGCGAGAAGAAGTAAAGTTTTTAACCTATCCTTGCTGTTAAAGTATCATTTAATCTACCCTTGTGGTTAAAGTACTATTTTATCTACTATTTTTGATAGATATAAGGCAATTTTAACAGTTGCTATGGAAAAAAGTACCTATAATAAAATATTATAATAATTATATAATAAATAAAATAATTTGAAATTTGGTGAATAATACGCATTTTTTATTTAAAATTACTATTAAAAACAATTATTTAAGGAGCAAAAATCAAGCCTTTGGCTAGTTCCAAATCCATTACGATTATATTTGATAAAAATGGAATGATTATCAAGATGAAAAATAACTTAATATACGTAAATTTAAACTGTTATTTACATTCATTTGTCAACTGTGTTGTGCTGTAATTTTATTATTTTTATATAATTGAAACAATGGATGTGAATATGTGTACATCTATTTCAATCACACTATTCTGAATCTATGATCATGAAAACTAGTAAACCTCCGTACCTTGAGATCACCTTGGTGCTTCTAGCATCACTCTGAATCCCCAGCACATTATCCAAGCCAGTGATTTTATTTTCCAAGCTCTCCGAAGTCTTTATTTTGACACATTTTACGTCATTGCATTTTTTCGACATTGTATTTACCTGACTAGGTAAAAAACATCTACAAAAAATGCAAGTAAAATAAAAACATCAAAGATAATAATTATCATTACTGTTTTAATTTAAAACAATATTCGTATCTTCAGCGATCATTGAAAGTACTCTCAATAGGAATTTTTGGGTTTGGAAAACATGAGCATTGCCTGGAGACTTATATGGTGAAATTTTGATAAAATAATTTAGTACTCACTAAAAACACGGTATGTCGCTAGTTGTAGGAAAAATAATTTTTAGAGGTTACTAGTTTATTTAGTTGCCTGTGATATGCATATACAGGGTGTTTCATAATTAATCTAAAAAATAAAAAATCGTTAGAAAACGGCTTAAGGCGGGCTCTTAATAAGTATATTTATTTTTTTTCTCGGCAACCGTTTGACGAACAAGAAAAACTCAAAAGATCAATTTTGTTGAAAAAGGATGGCCTAAGTACTTTAGACCTAATGGTTATATAAAAATTGTTTTAAGAACACATGATGAATCACACCACAATTTTTTAGACCAATTAGAATACACCCTGTATATTGTCAACTTGACAATGATTGTTGATAAATCAAAAAATACCTTTTCTGTGAAAAAAACCCGATTTTTTTTATTTTTATTGAATTTGGGCCTGCGTCTGCAAATACCCGGTATGTTTTTTAATATTCTATCTATCTAAATTTTAAATATCATAGTCAGAAATAGTTTTATTATTTATTAACTGTAAAAATGGTATACTTATAAGATTTATCAAATATTGTGATTTACTTTCTACCTTGTAGTCAAAATTTATATTTAACAAACTGTAAAATATATATAGTCTTATGTTTTATTAAAGTTACTCTGATATACTAATATATCAGTGTAACTTTAAAACTAAATCCTTTGAAATTAAATATAAACATAAAAAATATTTACAGCAGAAAAGGCGAAGGCGCTGGGTTAAACGTAGTCTCTACTAAGAACACGGAGGGGCGCTTTGACCAAAATTTTACTATTAAGTTTCATATCTATCTTAATAGAAGATTATTTTCTTTTATCTATGAACATGAGTTGCCGTCTATACCGGGTGCGTCTCAAAAGTGGCTCAACCCTATAACTTTTTATTTTTTTTAGTTAAAAAACGAGATTTGGTTTGTTAGTATATGACATAAATAAGGATTGATTGGCATATTCAATTGTTTTCGGTCACTTCCTGTTTCACCGGAAATTACTACAACTGTTGACTTTTAAATGGCACCCTTTTCATTTTTTTACTTTATTCGATAGAAAATAACATTCTGAATAGAATGGCATATCATATGTCAACTTTTGACATTTTTGCGTATGATTTATTTGAAATTATACCTTGCGGTTCATAACGAAAATTTGATTTGACATTGTGTGTGGTATCAAATTATTCGTAAACAAATGATTTTTCCAAATATGCTAATGAGCCACCCTCGTTCCATTTGAATAAATTGAGATATGATTAAAAATAAGATTTTTTAACTTTTCCTGGCCCGGACAGGACACTAAAAACATTAGATGATCAAATCTGTTTTTCCAAGGCTCCTTGATTAAGAATTAGTGTTTTTAACTTAGTCATGAAATTTAAAATAAAATTTTTTATTAAGCGATAATGTCAAAAATTGTCATATAATATGTCATTCTGTTCAGAATGTCATATTCTATCAAATGAAGTAAAAATATACCCAGGTTGCCATTTAAAAATCAAAAGTTATAGTCATTTCCGATGAAACAGGCAGTGATCAAAAACAATTGAATGTCAATCAATCCTAATTTAAGTCATATACCAACATACCCAATCTTGTTTTATTATCTGAAAAAATAAAAAATTATAGTGGTGAGCCACTTTTGCGACGCACCCGGTATAATAGCTGCGACGAAAAATCATGTCGTTGAAATCATGTGTTGTTTTGGATTTATAAGTATTAATAAGACATTGGGTTAGAATAAAAAAAAACTTTATTTCAAACAAGTGCGTTTCGAAAATAAATAAATTAAATGACAAAATATCAGTCAAACGCTTATAACAGAATGCATCTTAGGGGCGACTGGTAGATGATCCAGATGAGCTGCTTGAAGATCCGGGATAATAGGCAGAGTATGCGATGCTAGATGCATCGCTGTTTGATGGAGACCATACCCTGGAGTAAGGTCCTCCAGTGTTTTGTTCCCAGCCTGGTTCGTACGAACTTGGTGGAGCTGTGGAAGGTGCCGGTGCTGGAGGTCCGTACAGAGACATTGGTGGTTCTGCTGGTGCCATTGACATCATTGGCATTGGCATTCCTAAAAGAAAAAGTAGTTATATGCGATGTTTTGAAAGGTTCTATGAAATATCATACCAGATTTGCCTACGAGTTAGTAAATAATGAAACCAAGTACCAAAAGGATAGCTAGTTTGGACAAGATCAAAGCCTTAAGTGCTTTCAAGCTGGTAAGAGCTACGATGATGGGCACCAAGAGTTTCATTTTTAACTTCAAAAGAAGGAGTAGTGGGAAGAAAAGCTTCTTCTTGAGAATTCCACGAGCTAAAATCAATTACCTAATTTAATAACAATTATAATGATTGATTAGAAATACAGTCGCTATTCTAAAGTTTTCATCTTATTTGACGAAGACATAATACCCGAAAAATATAACACATCAGTGATAAGTACGAGTTTTCTGAATACTAACATTCATTTTCGCTGGATACAATGTTCAAACCTTCTGTTGGATTGTAAACAATATCAGTATCTTCAGCGATCATCGAAGGTACTCTCAGTCGGAATTCTTGGGTTTGGAAGATACGAGCTGTCCTCTTAAATATAGCTGCGTCGATATCCTGAAAAAATAGATACAATTATGATTTTAAAAACATATAACAACTAAAAAAATGAATGTATTTAAACATGGGTTTATTAGAATAGTTATAGTAATATGAAAGTCCTTTTTTAATCTTAATCTAATGTGCATTCATTTAATTGTACTGATTTATGTTTGCAAAAATATTAGTTCTTAAATAGATAGAATTAAACGGTACGATTATCAGGTTTACGACTAAAAGACAATTGTCAACTAAAAACATCCTATATTTTCACGAGTTCTACAACATAAATAGAATGAAAGTCTATAAAATTAATTTAATAAAACTGTTTTGCACTCATGCTGAATGAAACTACTTAAAATGTATCATTAATTTATCTTGGTACTCCTAGCATCGCTCTGAATCCCCAACACATTATCCAAGTAATCCAGTACGTTTTCATTGACGCATCTCATGTCACCGCATCAACCCCACACCGTGCTTACCAACTGTTCACCCGATCTAGGGGTGGCTTTATCAGCCACTGTAGCCGCTGGTACCACCACCAAGACAGTACAAGTAATCCTTTATATGATTCATTTCGAGAGACGTTCACCGATTGACAGAACACTAAGCAATACATTTCCAAACAATGTTTTTTTAACAATTTTGTTTGTTGAAACCATGTGTTGATAATATAATTTAGATCATTGATTTTTTTTTGTTTTGGATTTATAAGTATTAATAAGACATTGGGTTAAAATAAAAAAACAACTTTATTTCAAACAAGTGCGTTTCGAAAATAAATAAATTAAATAACAAAATATCAGTCAAACGCTTATAACAGAATGCATCTTAGGGGCGACTGGTAGATGATCCAGCTGAGCTGCTTGAAGATCCGGGATAATATGCAGAATATGCGATGCTAGATGCATCGCTGTTTGATGGAGACCATACTCTGGAGTAAGGTCCTCCACTGTTTGGTTCCCAGCCTGGTTCGTACGAACTTGGTGGAGCTGTGGAAGGTGCCGGTGCTGGAGGTCCGTACAGAGACATTGGTGGTTCTGCTGGTGCCATTGACATCATTGGCATTGGCATTCCTAAAAGGAAAAGTAGTTATATTTGATGTTTTGAAAGGTTTTATGAAATATCATACCAGATTTGCCTACGAGTTGGTAAATAATGAAACCAAGTACCAAAAGGATAGCTAGTTTGGACAAGATCAAAGCCTTAAGAGCTTTCAAGCTGGTAAGAGCTACGATGATGGGCATCAAGAGTTTCATTTTTAACTTCAAAAGAAGGAGGAGTGGGAAGAAAAGCTTCTTCTTGAGAATTCCACGAGCTAAAATCAATTACCTAATTTAATAACAATTATAATGATTGATTAGAAATACAGTCGCTTTTCTAAAGATTTCATCTCATTTGATGTAGACATAATATCCGAAAAATATAATACATCAGTGATAAGTACGAGTTTTCTGAATACTAACATTCATTTTCGCTGGATACAATGTTCAAACCTTCTGTTGGATTGTAAACAATATCTGTATCTTCAGCGATCATTGAAGGTACTCTCAATCGGAATTCTTGGGTTTGGAAGACACGAGCTGCTCTCTTAAATATTGCTGCGTCGATATCCTAAAAAATAGATATAATTAGGATTTCAAAAACATCTAACAACTGAAAAAATGAATGTATTCAAACATAGGTTTATTAGAATAGTTATAATAATATGAAAGTTCTTTTTTAATTTTAATCTGTGCATTCATTTAATCATACTAATTATGTTTGCAAAAATATTAATTCTTAAATAGACAATTAATTTGAATTGGACATCTCGTTTAGGTATATTTAAGAATCTTATAGAGCATTTAATATGTGAAGTGTTTATCATGAAATTGTTTAAAGGACGTAGATTGTACGTATGCACGATTAAAAGAGTTTGTAGGACTTTAATTATCCATATTTGATAAAAAACGGTACGATTACCAGGTTTACAACTAAAAGACAATTGTCAAGTAAAAACATTCTATATTTTCACTATTTCTACAGCATAAATAGAATGAAAGTCTTTAAATTTGAATTAATAAAACTGTTTTGCACTCATGCCGAATGAAACTAGGTACTTAAAAATGTATCATAAATTCACCTTGGTACTCCTAGCATCGCTCTGAATCCCCAACACATTATCCAAGTAATCCAGTACGTTTTCCTTGACGCATCTCATGTCACCGCATCTGCCCAACACCGTGTTTACCAACTCTTCCCCCGATCTAGGGGTGGCTTTATCGGCCACCGTAGCCGCTGCTACCACCACCAGGACAGCACAAGTGATCCTCCACATGATTCGTTACGAGAGACGTTCACCGATTGACAGAACACTAATCAATGAATTTCTAATTGGATGGGTGCAGTTTTATATGTCGTACGGGGTCAGTTTGTGGCTCGCCGTTTTGTATATTGATTAGATATACTTTTTAGCGTACGCTGGGCATAAAAGGTTCGGTTCCGCTATTCGGATCCGGTACTGCTTGGTATTCCGGTGCGTTGACATTTTTAGAAGATGGTATTGGTACGATTTCGAGTGGCGAAAATTGGGTTGAAATGGTTTATGATGGATTTTCGTAATAAGATGCGCGCGGGTGTTTAAAATTCTAGTCGGGTGGCTAATGAAGAATGTTTGTAGTAGGCGCCTAGAATAACATTAATTTTAATATGCTTTTTATAGTATATTATTTTTACAATTCTTTAGGGTATTTTAAATTAATATAGGAGTATTTTTGTATCTAAAGGCACACTGGATAAACAACCGCCGACCGTATTGTTAATGTATATGTTACGGCTAAAGTGGATACTTGGCTAGTTTTAAAACTAGCCAGCTATTTTGCAAGCTAACTCAAAATCGCTGCTAGTTTGAAGGATACTCCTCCTATTATAATAGAAATAGGAATCCTCCTATTCTTACAAAATAGCAGACAACCGCAGCTAGTTTATATTTTAACTGGTTAGCATGCAAAATATTTACAAAATCTGGTTAGGATTGGGATTTCACCTCAGTTTACTAAAATATCTGCTAATTTACATACTCTCCAGATAGTTTACAAAATATATTTCAATTGTTCTTGTTTGTTACTTACAGTTTTAGGATGGATAAAATTTTAAACACAAACTGTATAGTACATAACGAAATATATAGCAAAAAGCCGTACTTATAGTACATGTTACGAGTCAAAAATTTTATAAGAAAATTCAGTAGGCAGTCATTTTCTACAGTTCCTTAAGAGCATGAGATACTCAGCTTGTTTATGAGCATACTCAGTTGTTTATCCTTGGGTTCTATTCATTATATGTATTTATATTTTCAATAGGGTTTCTTTGATATATTTTGTACTTCTAGCTGTTTAAAAGGAATAAAACATCAGTTACTTCCTATAAATTTAATTGTTATGATGAAATAAATTTTTATTAGAAAAGAAAAGAAATAACATTCACTCTATTTTCTTAAAAAAAAATAATTTTTATACCTGATAATTAGTAGCTTCGTTTAGATATCATGTTGAAGAAAAATTCTTGATTTTCGAAGTGTAGTGGAAAATGTTTTCCTTCCTTTCTATTTTTGCCTTTGTAAAATTAAAATATATATTCAAGCTGATTTTTCCTGGATATGTTCCTTTTTTTTAAATACAGTTAGAAATATTATATCGTATAAGTACATTTTTATTCGATCAGTAAATAATTCCTAAAATGTTTGTTATTGTTATAAATTTAAAGCTATAAATAAACCGGTGTATTTACACTTACCTTCTGGTATCAACATCCACAAGTATCCATTTTAGCCTTAACATATATAAAAATACTGTCATCCAGCGATATAATATTTTCATATCTGAGAATGCCAGTGGCAAATTGAATTAATTTGTCGTTGACGGCGGTATGCACATGACCTGGTAGATAAATGCCGTCCGACGGCGACATACTGTATTTTAACCATGAAATACCGTCAAATTCAACTAACTTCTAGCCGCTGCCGACAACTTTTTATCCAGTATTACGATCAAAACCGGTCTATGACAGCAGCTGACAGAAAATTTGATGTGAGACATTCAGTTTATAAAATCAAGAAACTTAAAGCAATCAAATTCATATGTATTTAAAACAATATAGAGTATCACCAAGAAATGTTTAAAAACTCATTTATGCAACTTTATGTCGACTGGATAGACAGTTACTGGTAGCGGCTAGGCGCTTCTGTCGAAATCATGTCGAAATGATAACTTAACCTTTATTTTTACATTTGGATTAGGTGATAAAACAGTTTATTGTTCATTGCTCTCTTATTTTGCATCTAAAATGTCCACTATAAAATGTAAATTTTTGAATGCAATAGAATGTAGTTTTATCTGACAAAAGTACCTAATCGAGGAACTCAGGTTGGGATAAACCATAACACATAAAATTTGGTAAAGTAAGGGCGGCATTTTCGCCGGGATTGCGGTATAATTTAAAAAAAATATCACCTGTAGGTTGCTCTCTTATTTTGCATCTAAAATGTCTACTGTAAAATGTAAATTTTTGAATGCAATAGAATATAGTTTTGTATGACAAACGTACCTAATCGAGGAACTTGGGTGGGGATAAACCATAAGACATAAAATTTGGTAAAGTCAGGACGGCAATTCAGTTTTCTTAAAAAGTATATCGCCGAATGGCGGTATTCTTTTTGTCCTTAGTTACAACCGCGCTATTAAAAAAATACCTCGTTGTTTGGCGGTATTTATGTTAGTAAATAAATATGCAAAACCGTCTAAAGGCGTATTTTTTAGTTAAAAGGCAAATCAAAGCTCAAATACAAAATTGAAATTTGTGACAATAAATGTCACATGTCTACATGTTTTTCTTTCAGGTTTCAGGTTATACATGTACATTAGTGCCTTTGAAAAATAAACAAATTGTTAGATCTATTACATAAATAAACTAATAATAGATTTTTAAATGTTTTTGCGTTACTATTGTACTTAGTACGACAGGTATCGAAGATGTTGAACTATGTAAAACCATCTCAGATACTAGCTTTTAAAGCCCGGAGACTGTATGTTAAGTTATAACTCATTATCACACAATAGATCTGTAAGGTCGCGGTGATTAAACCCCCTCTTCCCATACATTCTACATTCTACTATAGTACTTTTATATTCAATCCTTTTGAAGATGTACATTTTTGGATTTTTTTGGCCCCGGGCGGCTACCCTCCAAGTACCTGCGGGGCGACAAAAAATTGTTATAAAAGCGGCGGACGGATTCTGTAGGGGCGGCAAACCTCCCTCCTAGAGGCTCTCCGCCCCGGGCGCCCCTAACCCACGCTACGTCCACTGATTACATAGATTTCTTCTTCTGTTAAGAAAAAGTAAAGTGCGTTTAAAATTTTACCTGTCAGATGTGCAATTCTTCATTTTTTTAATACGAATAATTGACTGCAGCGAACATGGAAATAAAAATACATGTCTAAATATATAGTTTCTTAATAAAATAGTTAATTCCTAGACCCCCCCCCTCTATGGCTACAATAAAATATAGAATAGGGAATGGAAAATAAAATATAGAATAGAACAAGGTAGCGCCTCTCATACGCCGCGGAAGCTCCAAGGAGAACGGTAGTTTATATCGAAATGAAATTTTGGCAGCATATGTGGGTTAACTGAAAGCATTTTATCAAAATATAAAGAATTATACAGGGTGTCCCCAAAAAAGTTACACATCAAAGTTGTATTTTTTTCTAATGGAACACTCTATATATTAATTGATTTTCGGATTCTAGGAAAAAAATAAAGGTGAGTTTTATTAAAGAAGCATATACCTAAAACCTAAGAATTTTGAGATATTTCATATTTTGTGAAAATGAAGAGTAAATTTTAAATTTCGATAACAGCTACCTAAATTTTAGTTGGCCATGAATAGCCTCATATTTAATTACAGTAACCATTGTATGTTCAACCAAATTGAAATTTGACCCGAAAAGTTATACACTCAGTTATACAGGGTGAGACAAAAATAATATGGAACATTAGTCACTTTTAAAAGCAAGTTACTCTTTTATTTTAAATGGAACACCCAGTATATTATTCCGGTGTTCAAAGGGGAATTTATTTATCTCCAAAATATTCTTAAGGTTGCCTACCCCTCAGTCAAAGATTTTCCGAGATATTTTAATTTTTATGATCGCGTCAGTAGATCTTTATTATTTGAAAAAAATAGGTGACTGTGATACACCTTTTGTTAATTTAACAAAAATTAAAGAATATAGGATAAATAGTCAACGGTAATAAAAAGATACACGTTTAAAACATATTTTAATTATTACAGAATTAAAACTAGATATAAACCTATAATTATGTGACAAAAATTAGCTAGATGAAATCAAATGCTCAAAATGCTTCCTTTACTGTTAACTGCATAAAATGATTGTCTGTTCAAAAGGATCTTTTCATTTTAAAAGGCATATATGGAGTTCTACCTGGAAATCAGCTACAATAATTATTTCTCTCATGACAATAGTTGGTCGAGTTTTAATTATTATTAATTTATTTAAATACTGTCTTTAACATATCCCCATAAAAAATCCAGACTAGCATTTAAGTATTCTATTAATTGGCGAATGCACACTGCTTTCACCAACTAATAGAATCATATCAATTCTCTCTGATATAGGATAAGTTTGCATTTTCGGCAAATTTCTGATTTTTTTTTTGTTTTAACTGAAACAAAATGATAACTAGTTGTTAACGTTGGACTAATTATACAGTTTTGTTGAAGTAACGTCAGACATACTACCTAGATTTTTATCAAATAATTAAGATTTACTCAGATAAAATCATTTAAATGAAAATATCTAGGAAAATCTTTGTTTGAGGAGTAGGCAACCTTAATAGTATCTTGAAGCGACATGCATTCTCCATTGAATATCGAAATAATATGCTGGGTGTTCCTATTAAAATAAAAGAGTGCTTAATAAAACATGCTTTTAAAGCTGACCAATGTTCAACAATAATTTTGTCTCACCCTGTATAACTTTTTGGACCAAATTTTAATTTGATTTAAAGTACAATAGTTAATTTAACTATATATTAGGCTATACCAGGTAAATACCAATTTAGGTAGCTTTTATCGTAATTTAAAAATTGTTCTTTATTTTTAGAAAATGTCAAATATATCAAAAACCTTATTATTCTTCTCTTATAAAACTCACCGTTATTTTTCTCTCAGAATCCGAAAAGCAATTATTATATAGGGTGTTTCATTACCAAAAGCACAACTTTGATATGTAACTTTTTTGGGGACACCCTGTAGAACTCTTTATATTTTTAAAAAGTGCTATGAGTTAACATGCTCACAAAATTTCATTTCAATACAAATCCTCGTTCTCTTTAGAGCCTCCGCGGCGTAAGAGAGGCGCCATCCTGTATATAGAATGGAGTATATCTTAGAAAAACTACGATTAGATGAACCTATATGTCAGCATGATATTTTTATAATCCAATCAATAAAAATAAATAAAAAAGATATTTGAGAATCGTTTATTTCTATTTTACAAAATACAATAAATAATTTAAAATAAATAAACCAAAATTTATGGTTTGTTTTCAGGTACATAGGCACTGTAAGCCATTTGTTGAGCATCGTCCGATCTGTGGTAATGGTGGTCCCATGGATCGTGATGGACAAGATGTTCTTCGTGGTGATCATGATGTACAACGTGATGAGGTACATGAACATCATGGACCGCCTCGTGGATAACATGAGGTACGTGATGAGGTACATGGACATCGTGAACTGCTTCATGGATAACGTGTGGTGCATGGTGATGGTGATCAGAGAACTAAAGATTGTATGTTAGGTAAAGTTTGTTTAGTTTGATAATTTAGTTTATATTACCTTTGCGCAAAGTTTCCACACTGCCAGAACGATGGAAGTGACGAACGATACAAATGACAGTTGTAAAGCATTCCAGGTTTTGATACCCAGTATACCAAGAGCCAGTGGAATTAATGTGATGGCTTTCAGTACAAGAACAATTAAGATTGGTGCAATAATTTTCTTGATTTTCGATTTCTTTCTTGCTAAAAATACAGATTAATGTAATTAGTAAGGATTATAATTATTTTTTGTAATAAAACTAACCTTCAACGGCGTTTCCTGAGCCCAAACGTAGCTTCAAATCTACTTCTCCATTATCTAAACTTCTTCCGTTTAAAGTTACAGAAGAACCAAAAGGAGTTTCCATTGATATCTCGTTGGATTTAATAAAATCTTCAATATCATCTTCCAGCGGTTTGTCAAAGCTTCTTGGTGTAATGGGTTTAGCTACTTCGGTTATTTCTACTTTCCCTCCAATCTAGACAGAGAAAAAAATAATTTTTTTTTAATTTTAAAAATAACTTTTACAACACTATTACCTGTAAGAGATCCTTAAAATCTGTATATCCAAAATCCTGGCCATATACATGTCCATAAGAGGAAAGGAGAACAATAGTACAAATAACCGCTACAGTTCTCATTTTTGCGTCTTCGCACTTAGTGATAACGATATTGTTTAAACCTAATTATTTATATTGCGGAGAGCCAAAAAAGGAGTGGTGGAACTTTCGTAGAGAGTAACTGAATTTTTGTAGCTCGGACCTTTTTTGAATAATAGATGAGTGCGATTGATAGGAATTGGAATTTTGGGCCGACGCGTGTGTTTGGTATGCATTGAGCAGAGGAGGCTGTTAGTAGAAATCAAAAGTTGGGATGTGTTGTTCATGCGAAACATTGCGATAAGCGTATCTGCTTTGTTTACATTTTTGTCCGGTTTTGATGGTTTGTAGTGCAGGTTTCGATCAGTGAAAGTTACGTTTAAAGTTTCCCAGTCCATTTATATTTTTTACTTTATGCAGCATTCATTAATCTTTGCATTTTTATACAATTGAAAATATTTTACTTGTTTACTTATTCGTATACTATACAGGGATGGTCCGAACTGTATTCCGGAAATATTATGTATTTTGCAAATAATTATGAAATAATGAGATAATTCCGTAACTAACCATTAATAAAACGCTTAGTTTTCGAGGTACAGGGTGTTGAAGTTTCATTTTTATTTTGAATTTTTCGAAATAATTTCTGAAGTAACCTCAATATATGGATGAAAATTGGTGTCTAGGAGTTTTTTCATATGACAAATATGACTCCTGCTTGTTGAGGGCGTTACCTACCTATTTTTTAACTGGTTTGAAAAGTTATAACTTTTTGTCTGTACCTGTATAAAACAACTGAGTAAAAAAATATACATTTACGACGTTTTTTGCGTATAAAAAGTCTCCTGGTAAAAATCGCTACGAGTAATAGTTTTTCATACATTTGGAATCGAAATTATCAATACCTGTTATCATTGACATAAATTAAACATGTTGACTAAATAGTTATTAGACTGAAATCATAAATTAAAAATATTTTTGTGCCCAAAGTACAACAGAAACTGTTTCATCATTATTTTTTCGAAGAAAAATTTATAATTAATTTAAAAAAATAAAAAATTCCCAAATTTATCTCATTTCAGTTAAATAACTATCTACTGAACATATTTATTTTTTGTCAATAATGACATATACTGCCACCTACAAATAGAAGTCATATTGACATCAAAATCAAATTTCTCATGTCAAAAACTCCCAGACACCAATTATTATCATCCAAATATTGACGTTACTTCAGAAATTATTTGGAAACAATCGAAATAAAAATGAAACTTCTACACCCTATAAATATCTCCAAAACTAAGCATTTTAGGAAATACTATTATACGAACTTGTTTACTTATTTTTGTCTGCAGAATATGCTGCCGAAGTGCCCGGAATACAGTTTGGACCGCCCTGTATATTATAAAAATTTTATTTTATCATACAGGGCGATCAAGTTTTCTATTTGAAACATTGATTCGAATGTTTTTTTTTTATAAATATGCGAGTAACAATAGCGCAAATACTAAATATCGTAGGCGTACAGCGAAAATCCACTAAGTCACATTTTTGGTTGAATTGGATTAAACACACCACTATGTCCAGTTTTTCACGGTCTTTAACATGAAAAACCCATTAAGTCCAATTTGTTAAGTCCAATTGGACTTAATGGGTTTTTCATGTTAAAGACCGTGAAAAACTGGACATAGTGGGGTGTTTAATCCAATTCAACCAAAAATGTGACTTAGTGCATTTTCGCTGTACGCCCACGATATATTTTCATATCTATACACGATAATTCAAATACATTTTCATACTAAAGTTGTACTCTATTAGGATTCTGTACAAAATGCCAAAAGTTGACATCTGATATGTCATTCTATTCAGAGTGTCATTTTCTATCGAATAAAGTAAAAATATTCCAAAGTTTTCATCATTTCCGGTGAACAGAAAGTGACCAAAACAATTGAATACGTTAATCAATCCTAATTTATGTCATATACTAACATACCAAATCTCGTTTTCTTATCTGAAAAAATAAAAAAGTTACAGGGGGTGAGGCATTTTTGATACGCACCTCACATAAATTTAATTAGTAATTTATTCAAAGTTAATTTTTAACTCAAATCACTTATGTCTTTAATACTCCTGTATTTATTAACTAGTTTACTGAAAAATTTCATTTCTCAGCTCAGTTACATTCACATTAAAAGAAATTCTTTATATCTAATTTTAGATAAAAAATAATCCATTTTTAAGAGCTTTTTATTAACAGAAATAAATTATTATACATAACAAATCACAGGAGTTCTGTCCTAGTTTTGGGCAGGCGCGTAAGCGTTGTAAGCCATTTGTACACCTTCCATTTGATCAGACCTGGAAGCGGCAATATGATGATGATCGAAATGATGAGGATCAAAAGTTTCGTGGATGACTTGTGGATGAGGATGATCTCCATTAACCTTAGAGCACAGCTTCCAAACAGCCAAAGCCAGAGTAGTAACGAACGACACAAAAGACAGCTGAATGGCGTTCCAGGTTTTGATTCCAAGAATACCCAGGGCTAGAGGAATCAAAGTCATGGCTTTGATCAAGATGAAGGCTAGGATCGGAACGAAGATCTTCTTGATTTTGGACTTCTTGCGGGCTTGGACTTGGCTGCCAGAGTCGAATTTCAGTTTGAAAGAAAGTTCTTCGTTGTCGAGGTTTCTACCGCCTAAAGTGACTGTGGAACCGATGAGCGGAAGGTTGAAGGAGACGTCGTGAGATTTAATGTAGTTCTGGACGAAATCAGTGAAGGAAACATCGGAGCTTCGGCTTGATGAAGCTGTTTTTGTTACTTCTACATCACCTCCAATCTAGAACGAAATAAAAATAGTTTATTTTAATATATTAGGTAATTTTAAATAAATACTTGTAAAAGATTATCCCAAGATGATCCATCATCGATTTTAGGTGCGGCACTACAGCATATAACTAGGCATAATCCCACAATTACACTGACAGCTCTCATCTTGGTTAACGTACTATCTATCCAACGTTTGAATGACACTTCATACCCACGCACCCTCTATATTTATACGACAGTTACAGTGGGGAAAATGATAAATAATAAATTTAATTTGGTGCATCCAAATATGATATATTGGTAACCTGGTACTATAATTTAGAGCTGAAGGAAGTGCGATAAAGGAACTAAAGATATTTAAAAAGTTCACCTAATATAGTATGCAGACGCTTGTATGGCAATGGCACATGAAAGTATTTGTGGACATTGCTTTCGTTTGATGTGACGCGTGAGCTTTTTTATTGATGGCAGTAGGTTAAGTTTTGATTTTATTTTAACTAAAATTTTGTTAATAATTGTGATAACTAACAATTTTAATATTTAAGTACATATAGTTATTGTGTAACTATAGGATACAAACTATTAAAAAGATTAAGATATTGTAGTTGATGAAAAATAATATTTTTGTTGTTGAAGCTGATATTGTATGAAGTTTTTGTATGGTCTTATTCTGACAAAAAAAAAGATTTTACCCTCCTTGATACTTTCGGTTTAACTGGACATTTTTTTCCTTTAACTAGTGTCAAAAAAATCAGTGAGAAGTAAAATATAATTTACTATTGACAGTAATTGTCAAGATACATATTTGGTTAATTATATTAACCCAACAAAAAGTATTAAAACAAGTCTCACTAAAGTCTATATTAAGTCTTAATTACTCATATAGCTACAGTATATCCCAGTATTGTCTTTACTTTTCTAAATTTCTATACCGTTTTAGAGAAAAGTAAAAAAAACATTAAAATATGGCTAGATTTTTTCTAAGACCTAAAAATCAAAAGGCATTATTTCTATTGTAATATAATTTGTTTTTCATTCTTTGATAGATGGTTAATATTAATTTTGATTAACACTATTGCTATTTTTGTTATTTTAGTTACAAAACACGAAATTTATAATTACCTTTTCCGTAGCACTGATCTAAATAAATTTTGTTTTTCTTTAACATTTTAAAACAGCAATAAATGGCGTTAGTTGAAATTCTATCAATAAAAATTCACCAAAGAATGAAAACGAAATTATGTTACCATATTTTCATGTTTTTTTTCTTTTCTCTAATACGGTGTGGAAATTTGAAAAAGTATAATTACCCATTTTAGAACATGCAAAAATTTTTATGAAGAATGCTTTTTCCTCAAAATGTGAATAATAAAAAAAAAATTTCCTCTTGTAAATGCAATCTGGGGACATACTGCCGATATGCTTGAAATGTAGGTGATCGTAATAATTCGTAATAAATCACCAAGAAGTTATTCTGTAACAGAACCAGTTCGTAATACAATCTTGAAAAAATCATGTTTTTTTAATCTACTCTAAAGCGGTATGGAAATTTAGAAAAGTATAAACAGACATTTTAGAACAAGCTAAAGTTTTTATGAACAATGCATTTTTCTCAAAATACGAATAATAAAAAAGTTTTCCTTTTTAGAGACAATCCGGGGATATACTATATATAGGACTATATCATAGAAAAAAAAACGGCGTTAGGGTGGGTTTGGAGGTGAAGATCGCTGTCATTTTGCATGTAAAATTATATGGGGAACGTCACGGATCGTCATTTCCAATCCAACTAAATGCCGTTTTTCTTAGATTATACGGTATTTTAGAAATAGAAAAAAATTGAATGCGAATGTTTCGATGACTATTTGACTTTGGGTATTACCATGTAGCAATATATTGATTTAAAAGATCCAAAAATAAATGTCTAAATATATTTTCCTCTCTAAATTTATTTTTGATATAACATTTAAAATAAAATGTTTGACATAGTTCATTATATCATAAAATGGGTCTAGAATTTTGTTTAGAATTTTAAAATTATTAACGGTTGAGGTGGTTCTATACAGGGGCGGATACAGGAATTTATTTTAGGGGGGGGCTCAGATTATATTTTAGGGGGGGGGGCAAATGAAAAGTAACGTAGAATATGATTTTTAGAACTCCATTTTTAACCCAAAAGCTTAATATTTAACTCAATTTATAGATTTTAGGGGAGCCTTGGCCCCGTGGCCTCCCCTCTGTATAAGCCACTGGTTCTATATAAAATAAAATAATTGATAGTCACTTTCGGTTAAACCGGAAGTATCGGAAAGTGAAAAACTTTCTGGTACTTCAAACAAAATACACATGGATATTTCCTTAACCTACACATTTGTATATCTAACTTGAATTTAATTTTGTTTCTTAAAGGAGTAAATGAAATGATCTTGTATAAGTTCTAGGTAAATAACATTTAAATATATGATAATTTTTTAATAATTTCATTAAAGATCAAAAATTTATGAATTTTTTTATGACAAATCTGCATGATTTGTGCATTCAAATTTATATTTGTCATTAATTACCAAAAGAATATGTTTAATTAGCCAAAAATGCTAATCCTATCCGAAAATTTTATCAGAAAGGACTTTTAACTGTTGAGATACATTTATATTTCACACGTTACATTTAGATTATACGTATTTGTTATAAATTATTTGTTTTATTTAATTTTATACTTCTTTTTTACATATTTTAAAATCAATTATACAGGTTGTTAATCGACAGTTACTTATAGGGGAACAGAATGGCAACACAGCCTATTGAGAACGCATGCACTTATAGGGTTTTCGGCCGACTCGTTCCGTCGCGTTGCGTCGTCTATCGATGAGCGGGCCGAGGTTGCCATATTTCAACCATAAAGCTCTTGCCGCGAGTAATAATCAAATTAACAACCTGTATTTTGTACATATTTCAAAACACATTATACCGGGTGCGTCTCAAAAGTGGCTCACCCCTATAACTTTTTATTTTTTCAGATAAAACAACGGGATTTGGTATATTAGTATATGACATAAATTAGGATTGATTGACGCGTTCAATTGTTTTCGGTAACTTCCGATTTCACCAAAAATTACTAGAACTTTTGAGTTTTAAATAGCATCCTCGGTATTTTTTTACTTCATTCGATAGAAAATGACACTCTGAATAGAATGATATTTTATATGTAAACTTTTGGCATTTTCCCATATGGTTTATTTGAAATTGTGCATGCGGTTCATAACGACAATTTGACTTGAAATACCAAGTGTGTGGTATCAAATTATTCGTAAAAAAATGCCTTTTCCAAATATGCTAATGAACCACCCTCGTTCCATTTGAAAAAATTGAGATATGATTAAAAATACGATTTTGTATCTCAAAAGTTGACATATGATATGTCATTCGATTCAGAATGTTATTTTCTATCGAATAAAGTAAAAAAAAATACCGAGGATGCCATTTAAAAATCAAAAGTTTATTTTAGGTAAAATATATAGTAATTTCCGGTAAAACCGGAAGTGACCGAAAACAATTAAATACGTCAATTAATCCTAATTTATGTCATATCCTAACATACCAAATCTCGTTGTTTTATCTGAAGAAATAAAAAAGTTATAGGGGGTGAGGCACTTTTGAGGCGCACTCGGTATTTTAAATTCATTATTTGTTCAGATATTTAAAATGGTTTGTTTTTTTTAACTAAAGAAACTCTTACTAAGTGATATTACGTGCTTTGGCATAATATGTTTAACATAGTTACTAAAATTACTCTGATTTGGTTTGATGTTAAAGAAATTATATAATATATAATTTTATATTATTAATTTATTTTATATATAAAATATATTAATAAAAATCAGTTCGTTTAAGTTTTACTGCTCCAAAAAGTTTTATATGCATATTTATTAGTAGTGGGAACTATCGAATGAATACTATCGAAACATTCGATAGTTGCAATTCATTCGAATAATTCGATAGTTAGTAAGAAAACATTCGTTGAAAACTATTCGAATAAAAATTATCGAATAGATCCGTCATCTGCCTTGAAATATTGTATTCTAGTAATTCGGCAGCAAAAACCATTCATTTATAAAATTCATTCATTTATAAAATTCATTCATTTATAAAATTCATTCATTTATAAAATTCATTCATTTATTCGTCAGGATCGATTATAATAAAATATTAACTGAATTTTAGTTGTCGCCCGGCGACGTAGGTTTTTTTCCGAGAAAGCGGTCGGTGGCAATGCTATGAAAGAAGCCGGCATCTTTGATTTTTGCGGAGTCATATATAGATAAGGACACATTATTTTTTTTATTGAGGTGCTAGTATTTACACAGAAAATACATTATGAAGGGCGCTGTTGCCATATTTTTGTATTAGTTGATATTAGCAAAGAATATTATTGTTTGGCTTTAGTTAGTTAGGGATAGTATGTCTATATATTCTGCATTTTTTTATTAATATTCTGTTGTTACACTGCAATAATACTTGTTATTTTGGATGTAGGAAAATTATTTTTAATGTTTTTAACCAAAGACTGGTTTAATAAATAATAATAACAGTAATAATTTGTTATACCTATTAACAACAAACTTTAAAATCATTTAATATAAATATTTTTTTTAAGTAGTAGCAAAATATAAACAACAAATTAGATGTCAAAATTATTTATATTAGATCCTATTTAAAAATAATATAGTCTCTAATTTTTTTGGCAACGTTGGTTTATTAAATAATAATAATTACAGAACTAAATTGTTATATTAACAACAAATTTTAAAATCCTGAAATATAAACATTTATTAATTTTCTAAGCAAGCGGTGTAATGGAAGGAAAATATAAATAAAAAATTAGAAATCAAAATTATTTATATTAGGTGCTTTATATTACTATTTAAAAATTATATTTACTTTTACTGGCATTTACTTTAAAAATAAATGAAATATTTCTTCGCAAAAAACTACATGTAAGAGAATTAGCATAAACAAAATACAAACATCGTTAACTTTTTTTTTAAATTGGCACGTGTAAAATTTTCATTATAATTTTCTCACCCCATAGTTTGAGTTCGATAACCATTTATTTAACCACATTACTTAAATATAATTATTAAGTTCCAACTAATTCATAGGTATTATTAAAACATCTAAAATACAAATATGTATTTTTTAAAATTAATTGTAAGTTCATCTCATCTCTCTTAAAAATTGCTACTTCTCAAAATTTCCCTTAAAAATAGACCATATACCATATAAAATGAAATAATTGAAAGATCGGACTACGGAAAACCACACAAATTATCGGAAAAATTTTGACCACCTGCACATGCACACAATCGTCAATAAATAAAATTAAAAAATAACTACTATTTTAGTATTTTAACTATTTTAATAAACGCAAAATAGCACAGTATTTATACGGCGAAGTTATAAAAATTTGGAAGAACCAATAATGCACTGACGCATACAAAATCCAAACGAATACTAAATTTCATTTATCAAAAGCATTCGATAGTCGTGGCTCAACGATAACCATTTAGTCGCACGGCGAGGTTGTCACATATGCTTTAGTTTACAAATGAATGAATGATTTTATTCGAATAAAACCATTCGATAGTTGAAATCATTCATTCATTAACCATTCGATAGTCTAATTCATTCGATAGTTCCCATCGCTAATATTTATGATGAATATATTAAAATACTTTTTTAACCCGGATCTGAATTACAATGTAATAATATCAGTAATTAAAAGTATATATGTCCACACTAATGCTTGAATGGTTTCTGATGACAACTTCAGATGTTAAATCTAATCTAATCTGTTAACTATCTAACAAACTGCAAGATCAGTATCAACTACAATAATTAAAAAAAAATAATATGAAATGGCTTAACTTTACTATGTTTTATGGTTAATAGGTTATTTAATGGTAAATAGTAAATATAGTCGATTGTCAATTTTGTCTAACTTCTCGTCATTATTTCTTATAACATGGTATACAGTGCAAGTCTTATATGAGTGCAAATATTTTCAATTTTCAGTGCTGGTAGATCTCGATTAAAGAAACATATTTTCTCCTTACCGTTTTTCAATTAAGTCCAAAATAACTGAGATATTTTATTTTGAAAATTTTTGCTTAAATTTTGAGAACCACTGGATCTTTTCTGGGTTTTATTTCTTGTAAATTTGATCTACTACCTACGTTACATTTTCGGTATATTATGTTTAATTGAAAATTAAAGAAAAATAAAAAAAATTGCATTTTTTTTTGACGAAAAGTGCCTCATATACGTGTTTCTGATATCTTGAAATATACTACCTCTAAAAATATTGGCATTTATTTAAGACTCACTCTGTATATAATAGGGAAAAATTGACCAAAACGTAAGGCGAAAAAATATAAAAAAAAAAAAAAAAATATTATTTATTGCACATTATATATTCTATGAGGCACAATTGTAATATTGGCAAAAAAATTAGCAAGAAGAAAATACAAAATTAATGCCGATTGAAGTAAAATTTACATGATTATTAACATTCATTTAAGAATAGCCAATGAGCGTAAACAATAATTGCTTATGTAAGAGTACAAACCATATGTTTTAAGAAATCATCAAACATTCTTTACTTACATCAAATAATGTTATGATTAACTATGACTTTTCTAGATGTTGATATGCCTTGATTTTTTAATAGAATGATAAAATATTCAGAACAGTTCAATAAAATTCATATATATTTATTCACAAATAATTTATTTATAAATAAGTGGTTCAGGTATTTTACATTTACTGAGCGTACGCCGAATAAGCCAGTGTTGAAGCATCTTGATCAAACGACCTTTGTTGATAAGTAGGTGGATGATCCAATACAACAGGTGCATGCGAATCAGTAGCCAGTTTCTGACATAATTGGAAAATTGCCAATCCACTAGCAATAACGAAAGAGAAGAATGACAACTGTAGTCCATTCCACGCCTTAAGGGCTAGTAGACCGATCAAAAATGGAACCACGGTGATGGCCTTCAGAAGGATGAAAGTAAGGATTGGAATAAATACTTTCTTCAGTTTGGATTTCTTTCCACGTTCTGCAAAGAAAAATAAAGATTAAGATTAAAGCTTGATTCTGAACCTCGAAATTAATGGTTTCGATTAGCATAGAAGTTTTTTCTTCTAATATCAATAATTATAATAATATCAGTAATTTTCAATTAGTGGAAAACAGTTTACAAACTTTTAACTTTTTTCCACTAGTAATGTCATTTTCACAAAACATCCCACTTTAGAACATTTTCTGTAATGGCAATGACTGGAAGTAAAAGCTATACTGTGTGAACAAATACTAGAGGCACCGCTAGTCATTAAAAAGTTAACGAATATTCATTAGTTTTTTAAATATGTCAATATTTTAATTTTGTCGTATTTTGTGAATATTCGGTGTGTGATTTTGGTAATTTCCTCATTAATAACTGGTTTATTTGTTCTTATTTTACCAAGTACATTTTATTTTAATTATTCATGTTTAATTGCAATGGCTTTTTTTCGACCGAGAACGCAAACCTGCGAAGAAGAACTGTAGCGTTCCTAATCCTAATTGCGCCAACAAAAATGTCAGTTTTTTTCGATTTCCAAATCCCCGGAAAGTTTCGAATTGTTTTGTACGTTTTTTTTAGTTTATAGGTATGTAAAATACATAATTTATAATAACATCAATAATTGTTTTATTTTTATAAACGTTCGATGGGGTTATTGATGTAAACATGTAATTTCAATATACCTATTTCATTACAGTTAATAAAATGTATTTAAAAAAGATTAAATATAATGTAGGTATCGATATTTAATGAATTTAGTGTGCTCGCACAACTCAAGGGTTTCTCTTTTACTTTCATTTCATGACATATAAGTCAAAATTCTAAAGAGGGATGTTTTGTGGTCATTTTGACCTTTGACTATAATTCGTCAAGAAAAATTGTGGTTAGAAATAGAAAGTTTATTGTTTTATAAGCTAATTATTAGGCTTTCTCTATGGATACAACAGATTATCGCAAGCTGTTGCTAGGGTATTCTGTTAATTTTAATTTTATTTTTAATACGTAATGTATATTCTAGACATTGTAAATGGTCGTAAACTAATATAAAGTATAGGTGAAACCACTAACTAATTACACTAATTTCGAGGTTCTTAATAAGACTTTAGAAATACACTCAATTTCCTTGATTTTTTTAGCAAACTCTATATAAATATATCAACTTTAATTCATGAACTCAGTGTATATATCTTTAGTATATGACTTATTATACAGGGTTAAACGAAGAGTTGTACCCTACCTTTAAAACACCCTCTGCAATATTTTCGTGAGCAAATTTTCCTAAAACATGATTTTTCGGTCAAAACCATGTTTCCTGTATATATGTGTTTGACTTATGTCAACACATGCCTAGGTTGATTTTTAAGAGCAAAATGAACTTGCCGCAAACATTTCGCTTTTTTTTAATTATCGTTACTTTTCGATGTTATTCTTCAAAATGACGAAGTGGCTTTGATGACTATTGTTCTTTAAGATTGATTATGGTTCTTAGTGTCGAACATTGAGCAAAAATCATTGACCGTGTTGAAAATGGCCGAAATTATGAATATTCGCTTGGTCCTTGAAGAAGAATGGGAAAACATAACACAATATATTGCCTCTATTGCCCTACAACAGCCTCATTGGCAGTATGATCCGACGTCTACAGACAGTTGTAGCAGCCGGGGGAGGCAATACAAAATATTAGAGTATTTTTACAAGTTTCTTGTTTGGTTGTACAGGGTGGGTCAAATTCGACGCTTTTAAATGGAAACACCCTTTTCTATAGGAGATAGACGAAAACTAATATCGGCGTCTGAGCTCAATTTTCATCAAAAACATGATGGTGAAAATCGCAAATCAATATCTGTTACCGTTTCGGAGTTACGGGGTGTTTTTCAAAAATTTGCATTTTTAACAAATCGCTGTAACTTTTTTGCTATGGAAAATTTTGTATTTCTATAAAAACATTTCCAAAGCACCTTTTTACGTAGAATTTAATGGTATAAGTATAATTTTTTTAAAATTAATATTTTAAGGGTTATCAACAGAAAAATTGATTTTTTATTTGGGACACTCTCTATATTTTTAATTAACTGAAAAGAATTTAAAATTACCTTTCCAAAAATATAGCACACTTGATATTTTGTTATAATCCCCTTCGAAATAGAGTATTTTTAAAAGTTCGCCACTTTTAACTAGTAGGCTTTGGACCCCTTATTGATGGTATGCCCTTAATGGAACTCGAAAACATATTTTTCCAGCAAGACGACGCACCGCCTCTGAACGCTGAAGTGATCAACAAATTTTTGCAGCCAATATCAAGAATAATAATTGTATAGCTAACGAAGATCCCAGCCGTTGGCCGTCGAGGCCGCCTGACTTAGAGCCCATAGATCTAATCCTATGGATATATTTGCGGAAGAATAAAGGTTCCTTGTTCTTCCGTATAATCTAGACAAGAATTAGAAATACTTAGTAGTTATGAGAGGATACCTTTCACCCCCCACTGAGTTAATGAATTCCGCGATGAATGTTCAAAAACGGTCCCGTCTGTCCATAACAGAAGACAGTCTATATGTCGAACACCTGTAGCAAAATCTCATGTCTTGGTTATTTATTTTTATTGTTATTAGATATAGTTTAAATCTGTTGATGTTGGTTAAATATATTTTAAATTGTTATCAAATTCTGCATCTCTCATCTCTCATAGCAAATATTATTTCCGTTTTAATTGATGCTCACAGCTAGATTTTTTTGCATTACAGCCGGTGCCGTTCAAAGCCTACTTATTTATAGCGGGCGAATTTTTATATACTCTATATCTCGAAGAGGAATCAAGCAAAATACCAAGTGTGTTATATTTTTGGAAAGGTAATTTTAAATTCTTTTCAATAAATTAAAAATATACAGGGTGTCCCATATAAAAAATCAAATTTTCTATTGATAATTCTTAAATTATTAATTTTAAAAAAATTACACTCAAACCATTAAATTCTGCGTAAAAAGGTGCTTTGGAAATGTTTTCATAAAAATACAAAATTTTTCATAGCAAAAAAGTTACAGCGATTTGTTAAAAATGCATATTTTTGAAAAACACCCCGTAACTCCGAAACGGTACAGATATCGATATGCAGTTCCATCATGTTTTTGACAAAAATTGAGCTCCAGACACTGATATTAGTTTTTGTCTATCTCCTATAGAAAAGGGTGTTTCCATTTAAAAGCGTCGAATTTGACCCACCCTGTACACTTAGTTATTACAGTTATGTTTTCTTTTAATATCCTTAGTTTTGTTAGTGTTACTAATATTTATTAAAACCAAACCTATATCGTTACGTTTTAACGTTTTTTTTAAATTTTAATATAGAGTTCTAATATAGTGTTGATATGACAGTACGATAATAGTCAACAAAAACACCTCGTAATATTTAAAAATAACATGATCATCAATTAATGACAGTTGAAAATATTGGAACTTGTTGGTGTCAAGTTCATTTAGCTCTTAAAAATTAACCAAGACATTTGTTGAACTGAGTCAAAAAACAAGATGCTCAAGAAGCATGGTTCTGATAGAAAAATAATGTTGGGTGTTTTAAAATTTGGGTAGTAAACAACTTTACAATTAACCCTGTATAATCGGCCAAATATTAAAGTTTATAAAAAACTGAGTATACGATTTAAAGTTAATAGATTTATAGCCAGTTTGCTAAAAAAATCAAGAGAATAGGGCTAAAAATAAAAAAAATATAATTCTATAAAAAAATTGACGAAAAAAATAATTAATTATTTTATTATATTATTAAATTAAAAAATTCCGTTGCGTTTTTTTGCATCTGAGTGTATATGGTTTAATTGAAAAATATTAAGTTTACCTTCGACTTCAGATCCAAACTTCAGTTTAAAGTTCATTTCATCATCGTCAAGTTTTCTAGAATCCATGGTAACTTCACCAATAACAGGTACTTTGAAGGTTACATCCTTAGATTTAATAAAGTTTTCGATGCTGTCTTCAATAGAATCACCGGATCTTTTACTTGAAACCTCGTTTTCGTATCCATTAGAACTGATTTTGATTGTGTCCATAAAATACTAGAAACAAATTAAAGCAAGTATAATAAAAATTGAAAAAAAAGGTATACAAAATATTGTTAATTTTATTGCACCACAAAAATAAAAATGTTAGTAATAGACGATGACGAAGAAATTACTTTTAGATAACCCCCATGAAGGACACTATCCACAAACGAAAAAGCCTTAAACTGAAAGCATGCAAAGCTGTTTTGTTCAGCACAAGAATGTTTCAACTTCTCTACCGTTGAATCTAAAGCTGTGCCTTTCCAAAACTCTGTTTTTTGTTGGGGGGCACCCCATGCTGCACCGATGATACACAAGGCTACTACACTTTTAATAAACATTTTTAAAATCGATACGACTTAAACTAAACGATAACTTGACTAGATGTTGCTTTGGCTTGAGTAATGAATAGAATGATTGAGTATCAAATTGGTAGGTGGTTTATATTACTGTAAATAATCGAAAGTGATTGATACCATTCTTTTAGTATGTAAGTGGGTACTCCTAATTAGGCGTATTTAATGGGTTCCTTTAACCAGATTGGTAGTGGATGCTTGAAGGAATTTAGTACCGGACTAAAACTGTTTAGAAAAAGGGTTAAAAATAAATTAATTGTCCGTAAACGTCAGGAAATAATAATTATGCTAAAGAGTAAACTAAAAATATACAGGGTGGCGCACCCGGCGTATACCTATGTGGTGAGACAATGTGCACAATTTAAAATTATTTTGAACTATACAGAGTGTTTCAGAACTAAGATCCATACCTAAGTTATATTTTTCTTATGGAACACCCGGTATTTTATCTCATTTTTGCATTCTTGGGCCCAAAAAAGGCATTTATTATAAGGGTTAAATATGTTTAAAATCTTTGGTTTTTGAGATATTTAAAGATATTTAAATTTGCATGTTACAATAGATTAGATTATTAACACCCTGTACATTACTTTTCAGAATTAATTCTTTTGCTGAGTTTAAAGGTAAAGGAATAAACTTTACTGAAAAATGGCATTGCTTCCTTAAATTTATACAGGGGTATCAAAAATTGCTGATGTATTATAAGGATTTATTTTATATAAAAACTTCGTTATTTCAAATTTAACACCCTGTAGTTTTTAAAATAAGCCGAAGCCTTTGAATAAGAAGACTAAGGAAGGAGCATAATGCTATCCATGTATTCATGCATGGTGGGCGGAAAAAGCTCTCTAGGGTGGGGATCCTTGACAGTTCGGTTTAACGATTCATTTGACACATTTGAATTTGATTTGAAATTTTGTGGATTTGTCAGTCTTTACGGAGCTTATTTTATGTTATTTATTATTTATTCTACTACTGATAGTTGTATAAAGGTAGTAAATCTAGATGGAAATTGTGGCAGAACTTAAATTAACAGTGACATTATCGCGATTTATCGAAAAAACTCTAAAATAGTTGGTTGTGTAGCGTGTGGTAGATCTCGGCAAAAATTGAGTGAAATAATGGAACAACTTTTCGCTAGTAAGTGACTATATAATATACATACGTGTAGTAAACCGATCATTTATGAAATTCACTTAAATTAACTAAATTATATATTTTCTTGCATTTTAGCTTTTATTTACTACTTGTCAAAGATCAGATGTCAAAGATTTTTGATACGTTAATTTGACTTACCTGCTTCAGTAGCGTATCGGCTATTTGTGTTAATAAATACTTATTATAACTTATCTATTTTTATTAGAATTATATATTTTTATAACAATTTTAATAACTACCAACATTTATTCACAACGTAAAATAAAATAACAAATTATTGAGTCTACCCCAAGTCTACCCTACATCATAGTTTTAGATTTTTAAATAAAATTAGAACGGCACTGATAAACCGGAATTTAAGTCGGCCATATTTGAGGCCCATCGCGGTGTACCTAAGATTTTTAATATGCTCCTTCCTTAGTCTTCTTATTCAAAGGCCGAAGCAGATTCAAATGCTCTTTCAAACTATATTAGGGTTTTATATACCTATCTAGCTCAGATTTTGAATAAAAAGCGATTTTTAAATAAAATTGCAATGAAGATGGCTGGTGTCGCGATGGCAATTTTTTAGTGACAATTAGTAACTATTTCCAAAGTCGATATTTGTTTATAGACATTATTACTTATAATTTATAATAGTTTACTTAGGTTTACCTATAATAGTTTAATAAATAAGTATTCATTATTTTATCAAGAAAAATAAAGCAGTATCTGCTGGCGAAACGAATGGATATGCTACTAGTGTTTTAATTTGTGAGGAAATTGTTTCTTTGTGGCCTCAAGAGCTTATGCTTAACGGTGTCCAAAAATAGGAATTTTCCTGATAAGCGTTCCTTAGAAAAACTACTTGTCCTATTTCGTAGAGCTGGTAGTGTGGTTTATTAAAAACCTATTAGGCAGAAACCTGTCGTTGGAAGTGAGGAAAATGAATTTGCCATAATTGTCTCTTTTATAGGAAGTCCATATATCTACAAGCCATCGTAAAATAAATCAAATAACTACTTCTTCGTTTTTCTTGATAGAATAATAAATACATATTTAATAAATATTATTTATTAAACTATTGTAGGTAAATTAATAAAAGTAAACTGGTATAAATTTAAATAAGTCCATAAACTAATTTCGGTTTTGAAAATAGTTACTAACTGTCATTAGAAAATTGCCATGGCGACACCAGCCCTCTTGATTGCCATTTTATTGAAAAATCATTTTTTACTCAAAATCTGAGCTAGATAGGTATAGGAAACCCTAATATAGTTTGAAAGAGCATTTGAATTTACTTCGATTTATTATAAAAAATACAGGGTGTTGTATTTGAAATAACGAAGTTTTTATGTAAAATAAATCCTTGAAATAGATCATCAATTTTTGATATCCCTGTATAAATTTAAGGAAGCAATAACATTTTCCAGTAAAGTTTATATCTCTACCTTTAAACTCACCACAAGAATTAATTCTGAAAAGTGTTAATAATCTATTCTACTGTAGCATACAAATTTAAATCTTTAAATATCTAAAAAATCAAAGATCTTAAACATATTTAACCCTTATAATAAATGCCTTTTTTGGGGCCCAGGAATCCAAAATGAGATAAAATACCGGGTGTTCCATAAGAGAAAATATAACTTTGGTATGGATCTTAGTTCTGAAACACCCTGTATATTTCAAAATAATTTTAAATTGTGTACATTGCCCCTCCCCACATATACCCATAAAATATTTTGTTTCTACATCTTTTCGTTTTCGTATAATCAATCGAGGCGAATGAGGTGCGCCACCCTGTACAATAAAAGAAACGATAGCCTATAAACGATAGCCTATAAACGTATAAAAAAAAATATAAACGTTTTATTAGTCTAAACAAATATAAATGTACCTATTGGTCAGGCATCTGTAGCTATGTATGGCTATCGTTTCTTTTATAATTTCAAATATTAATATACAGGGTGAGTTTTAAATAAGTACAAATTTTTTTAGGAGTGGTATATTTCTACCCCAGGAAGATCTCTATGAGTTTTTTTTTAAATCGTGCATTTTCTTTTAAATTTTCGCAGTGGTATAAATTGTACATTAAAAAGTATGGAACTTGTACGGAACAGAACCATACGTATAGCGTGTATACAATAAAAAAAAATCGGTAAAAAAACTTTTAAGTTAAACGGTTTTATCTTATGTGCACTGAAAACTAGAAAATAATAATAACAATTAGGTATTTTGAACTTCTAGTTCAGAAATATTTTAGTACTAGGCAGAATATATATAGCTTTTAGGCATATTAGACTAAAATAAAAACGTGGGGCCCATTAACTATTGCTGTAATACTTTCTTCTATACTAAGTGTGGATTGCATCGACTTACTATAATCGTAACTGGAGATTTTGACAATCAATAACCAGCCGTGGCGGCTTCACCAGCGAACGCCGAGCTCATGATCTACAAAAGTATAAAGATATGCTTTGCCATAGGTAGGATTTCAGAGGGGCCCCACGTTTTTATTTTAGTCTAATATGCCTAAAAGCTATTCTGCCTAGTACTAAAATATTTCTGAACTAGAAGTTCAAAATACCTAATTGTTATTATTATTTTCTAGTTTTCAGTGCACATCAGATAAAACCAAAGTTTTTTTACCGATTTTTTATTTTCTAGTTTTTAGTATTTAACGGAAATGCCTACCGAATATTCCTCATTCTATTTAATTCGTTTGTGTGATGTTCAAATTCTCCAAACGTTCTGTAACTACAACGATACCTACCTGGCTAGAAGATCTTGGAAGCATATGAGGTAATCTTTCACTGACCTCAAAGATATCTTGGGCAAACAGCACTGCTTGTCCGCGGAAACCATACTGCCCGTATAGCCCAGTAAACTTTATGATTTTAACAAACGGGATGATTCTACACAACACACGCTGCTCTGCTTGCGTCAGCGCTTTAATCTCGTCTGGTATAGAACCTGGGTCCAGATTATTCCAGTACACCTTTGATGGTGCTATTGTTCTCTTACTGGTCACATGTGTTTGGCAGCGCGAACATAAAAGTAATGTTGTTTTTAAAGACAGTTCTGCAGGTAGATATCCTAATGCAGCTGTGTTGTAACGTGCAGTATGAATTTGGTTAGGATAACAACGCTTCGTGCAAATGTCACAAACGTGTATGCATGATGTGTTAATAGCATTTTCGAACGCTTGTACATGATTTTCAGCTCTGCGTTGCTGTGCACGCTCGCGTTGGTTATTTAACCTGTCTTGGCGTTGTTCAGGTGTTTCTGAAGCTTCTAACTCCTTTCGTCTCTCACGCCGGCATGTTAATCTGGCCTCACGTTGCTCAGCTGTTTCTGATGTTATTAGCTCTCTTTGTCTCTCTCGTTGTGATGCCAGCCTAGACTCATGACGCTCAGGTGTTTCTGACGCTAACAACTCTCTTTGTCTGTCACGTTGTGATGCTAGCCTGGACTCATGACGCTCAGGTGTTTCTGACGCTAACAACTCTCTCTGTCTGTCGCGTTCTGATGCTAGCCTAGACTCATGACGCTCAGGTGTTTCTGACGCTAACAACTCTCTTTGTCTCTCTCGTTGTGAGGCCAGCCTAGACTCATGACGCTCAGGTATTTCTGCCGCTAACAACTCTGTCTGTCTATCACGTTGTGATGCTAGTCTGGACTCATGACGCTCAGGTGTTTCAGGACTCTACCAGCTGCCTTTGTCTCTCACGTTGTGCTATTAACCTGGCATCATGTTGCTCAGGTGTTTCTGTTGCTAACCGTTCTCTTCGTTTCTGTAGTCGACTATAGGTTTCATTTTCACTTTCTTTTGCACGTTTCGTTCTATACTTTTCTTTCGCCTTTTCGAGCCTTCTTTTTCGTTGTGTAGCATTTTCGTTTTTATTTTTGTTTGTTTTTTAATTTATTGTTTCCATGTTGTTCCCACGAGTAATGGACGTTTTAACGGTCGACCCCCCCAGAGGTCCAGTAGAGGGGCAAGGCTATAATATACAACAAGAGGCGCCCAATCTTGAGGGGAAAACGCTTGCGACATTACATTTTTAGCCACCCTAATGCCATACAGTCCTCAGCACGTTTTAACCTATTACCTTAACTTGGGTGGTAAAGCTACCGTTAACTACGTAGGTACATCTAATCACCTATTTTTTTTTATCTGTCCTAACGTCACACAATCTTGGACACAACTGTTCTGGACACGACTACTCATGCCCTCACCTAATACGCCATTTTGTAACGACGTCCACTTGGATTTTAAATTTTGTCATAATCACAGTATTCTACTAGTGTAGCCCTTTCATTTGATACCCATATTGAGGGGGTTGTGGAAAAATATGAAATCCGCCATTTTGTACCGGCGGCCATCTTAGATTTACAATGTTATTGGTATTACTATATTGTATTGTCATCGGAACTAAAGGTGTGTACCAAATTTCAGATCAATCTGACAACAGGAAGGTACTTAAATTTCAATTTCTAATTTTGACCCAAATAAACAAACAAATAAATAAATACCGTACGGGTCGAGCTAAATAAAACCGTTTAAAAATACGGGACGGATATGGAATGGATATATAATGGAAACGAAAGGTATAGTGAGAATCAACCTTAAAAGGGATGCAAATACTGAAAAAAAAATCTGGTAAAAATTAAAAATTCGAAGTTTGTGAATCTAAAAATACCTTAGAATTTTGATGATCTGTCAGTGAGTCAATGCTTGCCAAAAGAAATTTGACAAGCGATAATTCGAAACTATGAGGTAACTACTAGATATTTTGGTAATATATCCAGCTATAGTATGTCCTCATGTTTAGTGAAAATGAATATTCTTGCTTTATCCACTACGAAGTTACAAGGTGGTCTAAAGTGCCGCTAATACCTTCGAGAAAAGGATGGTACTGCCATGCCCCCATATAAATAAATTTCGTAAAAAATAAGTATTTGACAACGTCAAAGACCTATCGTATCGCATATATGCAGAGTAAGCCAACTTCTGTACACTATGTTAAAAAACAGTTAAAAATACACAATATACCTATTCCTGCTTAGGCCATGCTTCCTGAGCTATCAAATGAGCTGCAACATTTCCAGAAATAATCTTCCTATACAATTAGAAATTTTCCAAAGCTTAGAAACGAGAAAAATTTTCAAGCTCTAGATTCAAGCCTTCAAGCTCTAGATTCTTAAACTTGGTCTCTAGAGTGATAGTTTTCAGTAAAATAAGGATCACTAAAGGTGACGATTAGGGTAGAAATGAAGAACTTCTACTCTAAGAAGAAAAAATTATAAAAAGAAAATGTTTTTGGTCTTAATACTGAAACAAATCAAAAAGATCTTAGTTTTGAATATAAATAACAGTAAATATGTGATATAGAAATATGTAGATATAGAATAACAGACATTCTAGTACTTTTGTTCCAAAATTGGTACTATAGGTGACTTCAAGGACAGAAAAAGTAAACAATATAACAACTTTATATGGATTTTAAGTTCTTTCTTCATAATCATTTATCTTTGTTTTGTTTTTTGTTTTGTCTCTTCTTTTTATTAACGACATTGCTATCATAAACATCAGTGGTAAAGTATGTCTTTTTGCGGACGACACTAGTTTCACTTGGAGCAACAAGGACGTCACGGCACTTCATAGGATTATATCAAAGGACTTAATTACCATTAAATCTTGGTGTGATTCGAACCTCCTGAGTCTCAACATTTCTAAAACTAAAACTTTGTCGTATAAAAACTCGCTGCAGCCTTTTGTACTTAACAACACCAACATTGGCGTCGTAAAATCTGTAAAATTCTTAGGACTTGTTGAGATAATTCTCTGAAATGGGACATGCATATCGACGCTTTGTCGATATATCTCTTTGTCGTAATCTCTGCCTGTTTTGCATTAAGATCTGTTTCTAAGGAGTTTAACTTGTCAGTGGCTAGAACTGTTTATTATGCACTTTATTATTGGTTGTCTCTATAGAAATTAAACATATTTATATCAAAACTTTTTATTTTTGAGGTAACCATTTCAACAGTCTGCTGCTCCACACGAATTAACAATAAATAACAATAAATAAACTTAACAAAATCTAACGCCTGCAAAGGTCTATCATCGCCTGTATGCAGAGAAAGCCAAGCTCTGTGGACTCTGTTCAAACGATCTTGCATAGTACTGTTGCGCTGGCCAAGCTTCATGAGCTGACAGTTGTGCAGCGGCATTGTCCGAGGCAATCTTTTTACATAATTGGAAGATGGCCAATCCTATAGATACGATGAACGAGAAGAAGGATAATTGGAGAGCATTAAACGCCTTCAAACTCAAGATTCCTAAAGCCAAAGGCACTAGAGTGATGGCTTTCAATAAAACAAATACTAGGATGGGGATGAAGATCTTCTTTAACTTCGATTTACGGGCTAAAACAAACAAAAAAGGAGTATTAATTTTAATCAGTAGTAAACGTGGATAAGGGATAAGTACCTTCTTGGACTCCTGTGCCAAAGTTGACTTTAAAATCTAGTTCATCACTGTCTAAGTTTCTTCCTTCAACCGTTACAGATCCAAAAACAGGAAGCTTGAAGTGAACATCGTGTGATTTGATGTAGTTTTCGATTTTGTCTTCATAATCTGCGTTGCTTCGACTGGAAATCTCGTTGGAACGGTATGAGTTTCTAGTTACTTTGACGTCATCAGAGAACTAAAATTTTTATTAACTAAATTCAAAGATAAATTTAAAAGATCGTTAATGTTTACCTCATGATTGTCTTTGCTCAAAATGCTATCCAAAAATCCAGCCAAATACTCTTTAAGGTATCCAATAGGATCTTCCTCAAAAGTCAGTGACTTTTCATCGGGTTTTGGCGAAGCAGCAACCACTGCGATAGCACACAGGCCGAAACAAATCAGCAATTTCATGGTGACGTTCGTGGTAAACCAACGAAATGAATGACGGTCTAAATTTCCAACTTTGCTTTTTATACCGGTGACCTATCGGAAGTGAGAACGACATGAAAAATTGACCGGTGGTGGCTAGATTTGGGAAAATTGTGTCGGACATTATGAGCGTTTTAAGTGGTTCGAAGCGGAGGTTGGGTTAAAAGCGGATGGAGCTTGCATGTAAAGTAACGCACGGCGGTACTGTTTGATTCAACCGATTGAAAATCGATAGATTATTATTCAGGACTGTGAACAGACTGGCAGTAATCTGTCTATCTTGTTCGATTTTTAATTGAAGAGAAATATTTGCAGTAGTAATTTTGTGAAGCCCTATTTTCATGAATTTTTTAGCAAGCTGTGTATAATTATATCAACTTTTATTTGTAAACTCAGTTTTTTATAAACTTTTGTGGTGGGTATATTATACAGGGTTAATCGAGGGATTGTTTTTTTACCCTAACTTTGACACACCCTGTGCTATCATTGCGTGTATAAATTTTCCTGAAATATAATTTTAGAGTCAGAACCATGTCTCTTGACCATTTTGTTTTTTGGGTCATATCAATACATGCCTTGGTTCATTTTTAAGAGCGAAATGAACTTGCCACTAACAATTCGCAATTCTTTCAGTTATAATTTATTTTTGAAGTTTTTTTTCAATATGACAAGGCAGTTTTGGTGATTATTGTGAACTATATACTACTAAGAACTGCCCATCATGTTCGACGTTTGGGAAATGCTTGGCAGGAGGGTTAGAGGTCGCGAAGCGTTACCAGTTTCATTAAATGAACTTCGATTGGTCCTTAAAGAAGGATGGGAAAATATAACGCAATATGATATAATATACAGCCTCAATGACAGTATGAACAAACGTATACAGGTAGTTATAGCAACCAGGGGAGGCAATACAAAGTATTATGGTACTTTTTACAATTTCTTTTTCTGTTTGTATACTTCAGTATTAGGTACAGACGTTTTTTTTTAATAATGTGTTCTTTTTTTATAAATTGGATTAGGATCGAAAGAAATCAACAGAAGTCCTTTGTTTTAAATTTGTCGACGTTTCGCAAAATTTATTTGCATCTTCAGGACACTACAAAGTTAAGAGAGCAAAAATACAATCAAATAAAAGTTTTTCCAAAAATTTTTAACAAACAACTTAAAATACATATCAGTGGAATTCCACACATATACAATTGGTAAAACTACCATAATGTTAACAATTAAATAAAATATATGTATATGTTACTCACATTTAAATCTGGACTTTCTTAGTCATATCCATTAATACACGGATGGTATAGAGGGGAGTGGTATATATCCCTTTTTTCCTTTTAAAACACATAACACACTTACATAAAAAAAACATATAACACAATTATGTATAGAGAAATATCACGAAAATCTTTTCCTTTCACAGACAAGCAGTGCAGATGTACCTACGTTGACCGTATACAGAGAGCAACTAATTCTAGTTGATAAAATACTAATATAATTTTTACCTGGAGATAAAGAACAGTTGAAAAAAGAAACATATAAAAATATTATTTGGATTTAAACCATTATTTTGAAGTTATATTATTTAATTTTTGAAAGAATATTAAAATATGCTGTACTCAGGTTTTCTACGTCTGTTCTTTTATTAACGCAATTTTTGTTTTTTTGGAAATTGCGTCAATAAAAGAACAGACGTAGAAAACCTGAGTACAGCATATTTTAATATTCTTTCAAAAATTAAATAATATAACTTCAAAATAATGGTTTAAATCCAAATAATATTTTCTTTCAACTTTGTTCTTTATCTCCAGGTAAAAATTATATTAGTATGTTATCAACTAAATTGAGTTGCTCTCTGTACGGTCAACGTAGGTACATCTGTGCTGTCTGTGAAAGGAAATATTTTCGTGATATTCTCTATACATAATTGTGTTATATGTTTTTTTTTATGTAAGTGTGTTATGTGTTTTAAAAGGAAAAAAGGGATATATACCACTCCCCTCTATACCATCCGTGTATTAATGGATATGACTAAGAAAGTCCAGATTTAAATGTGAGTAACATATACATATATTTTATTTAATTGTTAACATTATGGTAGTTTTACCAATTAAAACTTTTATTTGATTGTATTTTTGCTCTCTTAACTTTGTAGTGTCCTGAAGATGCAAATAAATTTTGCGAAACGTCTACAAATTTAAAACAAAGGATTTCTGTTGATTTCTTTCGATCCTAATCCAATTTATAAAAAAAGAACACATTATATATTATTGGATCGACAACAATAAAAATTATGTTTTTTTTTAATATCGTTAGTTCTGTTATTACTATAAATGTTTATTAAAACCAGGACTGTATCGTTAGTCTTGAACATTTTTTTTTAATTTAGCATAGAGTATCCGATGCAGCGTAATTGACCTTAAGACAATATTCACCAAAACCATCTCGTCTTTTTAAAAAATTACATCAAAAGTAATGATAACTGAAAAAATTGCAAATTGATCGTGATCAGTTCATTTCGCTCTTAAAAATTAACCAAAGCATGCATTGACGTGATTTAAAAAACAAAATGCTCAGGAGATATGGTTCTTAGAGTAAAATTATATTTTAGGAAAATTGACACACGAAATTATTGCACAGGGTGTTTTAAAGTTAGGATAAAAAGCAACCCCTCCATTACCCTGTATAATATGCCAATTACTAAAGTTTACAAAAAACTGAGTTTACGAAAAGTTGATATAATTATATACAGTTTGCTAAAAAGTTCATGCAAATAGGGCTAAAAATATCAAGAATATAACACTTTTTATTTAAATATACCAAATTTTTTTTAACATGTCTTTGGAATATAGAAGTAAATTTTCAAGTTAACTAAAGTACGTGTTCTATTCGTTTACTTTTCATGTTAGAAATTACGATCTTATATTTGATTGTATGAATTGAAAGGTAATGATATCATGATGTACTCTATTATACAGGGTGGTCCCAACTGTATTTCGGAAACTTCGTCAGCATATTCTGCTGATAAAAATAAATAAAAAAGTTCGTATAAATGTATGTCCTAAAATGTTTACTTTCGGAGATACAGGGTGTAGAAGTTTCATTTTTATTTTCTGGTTCTTTAATATATCTTTTGCTATGCTCTCCTCTCCAAAGTGCGGGCCGTCTGGCTGCCGGTAGACTACTGCGTGTCACTAATGCGCCCCACATCTGTACGGCTATCCCATTTTCGTGTGTTTTATGGGATTTCGATTTAGTGAACAGTAGTGAATAGATATTGAATACATATATGGGGATGCGCAGCAGTGAATGCAACGTCTACCGGCAGCCAGACGGTCCGCACTCTGTTCAGGAAAGCATAGCAACTTTCTTAAAATTCTCTTTGGAAAACGTTGCTAGCTCTTAGACTATAAGTAAAACAGCAAAATCGTTATTGAAATGAAAATATAAAATAACACCAATCGCAAGCAAATCGTACATCCGATGAACGGAGGCATAAAAATAAATTAAAAAATAAATTTAAAAAATGCGTAATTTCCTAACCAATCGAAGTAATCAAGCTTTTAGATCATTAGTGAGTGTGTCACGCATAATTATTACATGTATTGGCAATCAAATATATTATATAAATACAATATATTATAAATACAATATATTATTATTAAATAAAAACCGTACATTTCTACGCCTATACATTTTTTCAAAATAAGCAGAATATTTTTTAGTCAACTGTACTTTTTGATTCAGATTTTAGTATGTTTGTTATGACAAAAAATAAAGCTCTATCAGTAGTCATATGTAATATGTAATTATAACCATCTCGAGTCACATTTAGATATAATATGTGATGTTATAATATGATGTTGCGCTCTATGTTTTTTAAAGGTTTTATTAAATGTAATTAAATATTTTTTTCATCTATTAATTTGGAAAATAAAATATTGTTGGTAAATAAAACTCATCCAAATATAACAACATTCATTTAATAAATTAAAATAAATTAATGATCAACAAGTCTTAACTCCATTTTTTATTATAATTGCCCACGGTAAGCCATTTCAGCTGCAGACCTTCTGTGTCTGTAAACTGGTGCTCCATACACCGGTACTGGGGCTTGCACTGGTGCAACCGGAAGTGGAGGAGCGATAGGCAGTAAGTCAACATGATGGTCAACATGTGGATAGTGGACGACTTCATATTGCTAGAAAGAAAAATAATTTAATAATGAAGAGTTTATAAATTTTCTTCGTGGCAAATTTGAAAAGTTTATTTTATGTGTTTCATCATTCACTATCTAGTAAAAACTTGATTCAATATGTTGTTGAACTTTTACTGGCGTGGTTTAATTACTAATTGTTAAAATTCACTGATTTACTCTACCATATTTTAACACTACTTCGATATTTTAAATTATCTATTTAATATTATTTTGTAAATTCTATGTTATCGTGAAGCGTTTATTTTTATACTCATTTCTTTTATTAATTTTATTTAGTGACAGATAGAGGCATTAAAATTTACACAGAAATATTCTTTCGACGCTGATTGTAACGTTCCTTTCAGTCAATAAGACATACATTCATATTTTTGTTGTATTTTGTTCTTTTTTTAATTATATTTTGAATTTTTGAAAAATAATCTAAACATTTTATATACTTACTGGGGGTTTTACGAATTTGGAGAAAATAGCTACTGCGCCAGTGAGAACTAAGGAAATCAGACCCAAAGTCAGAGCTTTCCATGTTTTCAAGGCGATTAAACCTAACGCCAAAGGCACTAGGAAAGCGGTTTTGAATTTCAGTCCTAATAAGAATGGAAAAATGACCTTCTTAACGATTTTAGAAGAACGTCCTAAAAATTAAAAAAATATCATATTGAATCATGGTAATGATTTTCTTAAATTAATACCAGTAGCGGCTAAAGGTACAGCAATTGGTTCAGGTTGAACGAAACTTCTTGGGACTAGTTTAGCTAGGGGACCATCAGAGCTTAGAACAGATGGAACCTTTGCCACTAAACTGTGTTCAACTAAAAACCTGTCGAAGCGGTCCAAAATGTTATTAGTTTCGTAAGAACGATCCTGCAACAAAAAATAAAGCTCTGGTTTAAAAACAAAATACACCTATTTATATCAAATACAAGTAAACAAAATTGCATCGAGAACATCTAAATTAATTGATTATATTAAAATACTTTTTTTATAAAAGATCTGGAAGTTGTTTCTTTTATAAAGATATGTCTATAAAGGGCGAGTCGTAAATAAGAGAAAATATATTTAAACAGGGTAGATAGATCTCAGTCATTCTTGAGTTGTACGTAGTTTATTCACACGACTTTGTTTTATACAGGATGAGTCTTAAATAAGTGCAAATATTTTTAAGGGTGGTATATTTCGACCCCAGAAACAAGCCTATGAGGCTTATTGCGCGAAAATATTTTTTGAAAATTTGGAATTTCTTGAAATTTGCTTAATTTTAGTTAAAAAAGATAATATATATGTTAATAATATGACAACAATGGTAGTAGATTAAATTTACAAGAAAGAAAGCGCAGCAAAGATTCAGCGGTTCTCAAAATTTAAGCAAAATTTATAATTTTCTAAATTTTCAAAGTGAAATATCTCGAGCATGTTGGACTTGGTATATAAAAAACGGTAAGAGAGCAGATGTGTCTTTTATCGAAATCTAACCAGCCCTGAAAATATTTGCACTTATTTAAGACTAACCCTGTATACAAATATAGATTAAGGATAAATTTATTGGTTAACGACTTTTGGTTCCTTTTTTAAGCTTAAGTACTAGTAACCAGAAATTCGAAATAAAATTGTAATTTAATTGACATTAAAAAAAGTAAGAATATTATTTTAATCAAAAGGTTTGTAAAAGTTACCGTTATTACAAAACTAACTAAACTTTGATGTAAATTAAGTATAAATTTATTCCTTGCCTTTTAATGATTTTTGATTACTTTTTTTTAATATTTCCATTTTGTTTTTATAAATATAACTCCTAAATGAAAAGAATAGAAAAAAAAATTAATAGAAAGGAAATATCTGAAAATCCTTAAACTATTGAAAAGCAAAAGTGATTTTTATGTGCTAAATTTTTAATCTAGTATTACAATTATTATGTAACTGAATCTTCTGAAGACATAGTTTCAGAAAAGTCAAGTGCACTAAGTGTTAAAATTAATAAAAACTATTAAAATTTTAGATTTCTCCTATCATGTTTAAATCTTACCTCAGCTTCGACGTTTGTGTTTCTAACCATCGCCAAATCATCGGTAATCTTAATCACATTCTTCTGAGCAACGTAGTTCATCCAATTCAAAGCCTTCGGCCTCACGCAGCTAACAGAAAAATCCTGCAAGCAAGATTTGTACATGTCTTGCGCCACATCCACCAGGGATGGGTTTGCACTCGCTGCACTCGTTACAGCAACGATAAGAATTAGACACTTTGCAAACCCCGCCATTTTGATAGTTATTTTTTAGTTGCAACGTACCAGTGATATCGTTGCTGTTATCAATGCGGTTTAGTGAATGAATATTTGATTGATATGCGTCAAGTTTTATAGACTTAGGGCGCGGAAGTAGAAATCATCGACGGTTGACGGTTAGGTATGCGCCAAAATGTGACCCGAAAATAGTTGAAGAGTTATTTGATATGGATTATGTGCGTTGGCTTTTATGGAATCAGCTGGGATTGCTGTATATGGAGGGTAGTTGCCTACTGAACTATATCCTGAAGGCCGACGTGTAGAGATGTTTGTCTTTTTTTATGTGAGCGACGTTAGAATTTCACTTTCTTCGTAGAATTTAAATATTAGGGTTTCGAACCATATCCATAAAATTCTTCTGAAATATTATAACCGAATAGAATCAAATATTGTAACAGAATAGAATACAATCAAATTGTAATATAGATATAAAACTTTTATATAGTTATATTATTTTAATTGAATATTACTCTATATCATTTTTTTTTGGTTTGAGTAATAAAGTTTTACCTTCGAAAAGAAAAAAATATGCTACTAAATAAAATCATTTAAATATATAGCTTTGCATTATGATTTAGAATGAAATTTAGATAATGCGTATTTTAGAATGAAATTTATATAAAAGTTTGAATATTTGACTAATTTAAATAGAACTACATGTATTATATAATATTTTGATTTAATTTAGAATGTAGAATGTGAATAAGTAAGAGGGGGAGTTAACCACTGCGACCTTAAGGATCTATTGTGCCCCCCCTTCCTTGAGTCATCGCACAGTCTATAACCCAACATACCCCTGTTGTAGAGGGGACAGGGTATTTCCCATCCTCCTCTGACAACAGTTCTTCCTCCGAGGGTACACATACTTCCACGGTTGGAGTTTGGCTCTGCGAGCTTGCTTCCAGCTGAGGAACCCGTGAGGTTTGGTTTGGTTTGGAGGATCTCTCTGTATTTTCTCCATCTCTTTAACTTGGTCTCTCCTTAGACCTGATACCGGTGTTTTTCCGTACCTATAATAGAGGATATGTCCCTCTTTCTCTATTGCTTCCTTGGATTTGAGGTGAATTCCTATTGTGAGGACCTGACCATGACCCTCCTCCCTCTAGTTAATGACTCGCCAACTCGATGTCCTTACATTGAAGTTCTGACCCTGGATAAGGCTCACCAGGTAGGTAGTGTCTTTCCCCTTGCTCCTCGGTAGAAAGGCCGTGACGGCCACCCCTTTAGAGATGTTTACACCTTTACTGCAACCAGTTCCGGCGTTCTCCCTGCCGGGGAAGAGGTGAGAGTTTCTCGCTCCCTCTCTTGCCCTTTGATGGAGATGAGTCAGGTTGTTTCTTGGTTTCTTTACTCTCCCCTTTTCGGAGGAGTGTTTTCGCTTTTGCTTTCTCTGGAGGAAGTCCTTCGTGGAGCAGTCGGAGGTATCTCCGTGCTTCTGCTCTGCTAAGACCTACTCTCAGAGGATCGTCTAGCCCGCCTGGTTGACACAGGCCGGGTAGACGAAACGGTAGCTTGTGTCGCTTATTGGGTCTAGAGGTAGGTTCCCGACCCTTGCTGGAGAAGGTTGTAGCTTGTGTGCCACTTGTGGAGGATGATCCCAAGCAAGTGTCAGCCGGCCCTCTTGTAGTTTCCTTTTATATTTGGTCCCTTGGAACTTTCATTTGTAATGTTCCTAGTGGCGCTAGGGGGCTTCCCCACAGATTCATCGGTGGTGTTTTTAATGCTAGATCTCATAGTGTTCCCACGAGTCGCTAGAGATAGTCGGTCCACTTCTACAAAGCCCGGCATGTAGAAGTAAGGGGTAGATACACACGGGTGCCCCCTGATGCCCCAAGGTTAAGGCAAGTAATGGCTAGTCCTCTATCTAGCCACGCATCTCTTTGACCTGGTCCCGCTATCGGAGGATTTAGGTTTTTGGAGAGGTTGTCTCCTCTTGGTCCAGGCGGTTAAGCCAAGACCCCCCCACACCCTCTACCCGCGAGACATGACCGCAGTCATTAGAGGGTGCCTGATATGACGGATAGGGGTGGCCTTGTCCGACATCGTTATATGTCTTGGTGCAAATCCCTGGCCACGACAAGACGATGAGTGAGATGCTTACCAAGCCAGGCGCTATGGGGATTCCCCCAGCACATGACCAGGAGCTTCCCCAACAACGACAAGGTCTTGCATCACCTAGGGGAAGACCTCCTAGGGGAAGATTTTATTTAAAATTCCCAACTTGTACACAGGGAGAATTTCAAAAATGGATCACCAGGCTCATCCCTTTTTTTAGAAATAGAATAAAAGTTGGTATGTGAGTATATGACATAAATCGGGATTGACTGACGTATTCTATTACTTTCAGTCACTTCCTGTCTCACCGGGAATGACTACAAATTTGAGTTTTAAATGGTATCTTCGGTATGTTTTTGCTTTATATGAGAAAAAAATGACATTCTGAATAGAATGACATATCATATATCCACTTTTGATATTTTCACTTAAAAAATAGCATTTTAAAATTCAATCTAGAGTGCCGTGGTTGTGTAAAAGGAAAGCCATTGATTTTTATACAAACAACTTTGGAAACATATATTTGTGTCTTCGTGTCTTTTCCTGACCGGTTAAAAGATGCCGAAATTGCATTTTTAATCTAATAAAGTGAGTAAGGTAAGTGACTCTATTTTTTCAAATAGAAGGAGGATGGCTCATTAGCATATTTCAAAAAATACATATTTTACGAATAATTTGTTATCAAATCTTTGCTATTTCAAGTCAAATTGTCATTATGAACACAACTACTGGAATCTAGATTGATATTTAACTAATATTTTTTCAATAGAAAATGTCAAAAGTTGAATTTAAAAATTTAAAAATCGCACCTGGCTATTATACAAGGGCAAACAAAATGTTATTTTGGCTAAAGTTTCAAACACCCTGTGGAAATGTTTAACAAAGTAAGGCCTTTAAAAACCACTCTCTCGTCAAGGTGAATTTTGTCTCTATAATGTGTTTTTTGATTTAACTCAATAGCTCTTTTTTGTTGTTTTAGATATTTAATTTTCAAGGAGACAGAACATATTTACAATAATAATTGTAGCATTAAAAACATGTCTTTGCTTTTAGTCCTCAGCAGCACACCTACGAAATAAGTTTTTCTACGACTAGCCTAGAAAATGCAGTTTGACACACGGAAAACTCGATCTGAAATTGGCGTGCTATATAATTGTCGTGTGATAAGGATTTAGCGCACGATATGTGTCAATTTTAACATTTTTAACCTCCAATATTACTCCAATATTTAGCTGAAACGCCAAACGTAACGCAACTGTCAGAAAAGTGCCATCATTACATCACAAATTATTCCACAAAACTGGCAAAAATTGACTGAGTCTGCTGCTAATTTGTAGTCGTAGAAAAAATAGCGTAAAAAACTCGTTCGAAAACTTCTTTGTACACTCGTTCGACTTGTGGACTCCCTAACCTAACAAACTATCGAACTCGTGTGCAAAACGTCGTTTTCGAAACTCGTTGTTTAATATACTATTATTTTGTCTGTATTGTCATTGTCATTAAAAAGTCTTATTATTATTTATTGGCAGTAGTACTTACTACTGCCAACAGTACTTACTCAAGTTGGGATATAGTCTTTCTAGTGACTGAGATAAGATTTCAAGAGACTACCTACATACAAAAATGACTAAAACACAATTTCCCTGTGAATTAAAATGACAGTTACAACTGTCACACTCAGGGACACTCTCTTTGTACAAACTATAGTTTTAAAACAAGAAATCGTTTGTGCTATTGTTGCTTTAATTGAACATGGTAGAGGTAAACTTTCGGATTTAAAATTATCTCTTCTGCGTAGCACTGTGTTCTCTTTATCTGGCAAATGACAACAAACTATATCTGAGCATATATTGTTCCTGCATGTTTATGACCAAGTTTTATCATTATTTAAACAAGGAATAAAAGGAATTGGCATTGTTTCAACAAGGAATAAACTGCAAATTTATACAATTTAAGTATTTGACTAAATTGATTATTAAATTAGCATCCGTCATTATTATCGAACCTGGAAGATTTTATATTAATTACTAAACAATAAGTTCCATCAGGAGTAAATTTTTGTATACCTAAATATTAAATTTTATTTTTAAATATTAGTCTTAGGGATTTATTATTCATATGAGCACATGGCTGAAAGAAAAAAATAGAGACATTTGTAGCAGAATTTCTGTCGAAATGACAGAAAATAAAATTTGACTGTGAATAACTAACAGACACAAACTTACAAAGACCTAAATACTAATAGAAAACGTACTTTATAGTGTGTCTAAAACATATGTTATGGAATAAATAACACCAACATATCTTTATAATTACTACATATAACAATTTAAAATAAGAAATATATAGTTTGTATTATAAAGGTACTTAAAAAAATAGTAACAAGATATCAGGAAATCTTGTCCTTTTATTTCGAAATGTTTTTTTGAAATGATGATTGTTGAAATTTATTGTTTTCGAAAAATATATTTCTAACATATATTTTCGTCTTATTATTTTAATTAGTTGAGTATCTTCTGAATTTTATTTCTTTAAAATTAAAAACTACTTTATATTTGCAAAAGCGTACTTTATTTAATATAAATAACGACATATGTACAATAAATAAATTAATTTAATTTAAATAAGCGTTGTAGGCCATTTCATCTGCATTCAATTGTCTACCATATCCAGGATGGTCCCATCCGCTGGAAATAGGAGCATGGTCTACTACGTGATGATCTACATGCTGCGGATAGTGAATCACCTCGTAGTTTACAGTCTGAAATATTATAAAAATATATGTATCTAATGTATTTGAGATTTAGAGCAATATTTCTTTACCTTTGGTTTAGTGAGTTTGAAAATCAATAATGCTCCAGTAAGAACTAAGGATAGAAGACCTAATGTCAGTGCTTTCCAGGTTTTTAGAGCAATCAAAGCCAAAACTAAAGGAACCAAAATGGCAGTTTTGAATTTCAGACCCAACAAAAATGGAAGAATTACTTTTTTCACAACTTTTGATGATCGACCTGAAATAGTTATAATTTTTTTTTGTTATTATGTAAATGATTTAATGTGGATCTCTTATACCAGTTACAGCCAAAGGTACTTTGACTTCCTGAGGTTCAAGAGATCTGGCAAATAGTTTCTTGAAAGCTCCTGTTTGTGCCAAAACTACTGGAGGCTTAACTATCAGGTCATGGGATTGGATAAAATCTTCAAATCTTTCGAAAACATCATCTTCCAGTCCTCTACCTTGCTACAAATATATTATTTCTTAATAATTATGATAAACTACATAATTTTTTTTTAATTTACCTCAAATTCCTTAGGATTATCCTTTTTAACTATAACCAAATCATGTGTTATCTTAATTTCGTCATTTTGACTCACTTCACTGAACCACTGCAAGGCTTTCGGTCTGGCACAACTCAACGACCAATCTTTTACACATCCGGTGTAAATGTCATTAACTAAATCGACAGCTGAAGGGTTTTGAGCTGTAGCAATCCCGATTAGGAGTACAGTTATCGGCAAAAATGTGAAGCCGGCCATGACTGCGGTGTGACAATTAAAAAACAAATGATAACGAGCCATGGCCATAGTAGAATTTATAGATATTGGGGGACGGAAATAGAAACCGATTTTGATCGGATTTTGTGTGTATGAGCGTCTACGCTATCTGGGGTAAACGTGAGGCGAATGGAGGTGTTGATGAAATCGGTCGGACAATGCGATGATAAGGATGGTGAAATATTTTAGAAATTCACTTTTGTTGAGGCGCTGATGAATTCATAAACACGTGCCAATTTAGTTTTTAAAAGACTAATAATAATAGTATTAATAAAATGTTCTGACATTGGAAATTTATCTTTTGCTAAATACGTTTTTTTAAGAAATGTAAATTATTCGTAAAAAAAATAATTTAAAAATAATAACACAAAACGAAAATAAAACAAATGTAATTTCATGAATTTAATAAGGAAACTTAATTTAGATGATTTCTTTTTGTCCATTATTGAACTTTCTTTTGTTGTAAATATATGGGGTAATTCAACGTGGATTCTCAAAGGAGATCGATACAGTCTGTATTAAAATAATTATACAAGTCTATGTACATTTTTCGTATAGAGAAGGATGAAATTAATAAGTAATAATCATTTAAGTGATTATCGCTTGGTGGCCATATTGTAATTGTAATTTTTTGAAATATTAATTCAGAAGCATTTCTGTCAGTTCCACAAAATATTCCGTTATTAATAATAATTATTATAATAAAAATGTTTAAGATAAGAAGGATATATCGTCGGTAAAACGTGATAAACTGCTAACTCCATTATTCCTAATTTTACAGGAGAGCAAAAAAACGGTACAAAAAAATACGTATACATGTAGGAAGTATTTTGATGCGTTAATATGATAAAGAGATAAGAATTTTATTTGCTGGGGAACAATAAAACTCAATACTTCGTGTTACGTCATTTTTTTCAGACACAATAGGCAGATAGCAGATATTCGTCTTGCAGAAATAAGAAATAAAAATATACTTCTGGAGATAGCAACCTTTATTGTTTGAAATTTTGAAAATGGAAATGAATATTACCCAAACAGATTTAGAAATAATCAATTAAATTTAAAAAATATGATATTCATAACCATATATTTATAATATCATCAGTCTAGAAGCAAAACATACAAGTCCGAAAACGAATAAATTTTTAATGAAAATTTTAAATTTTTTGCATTTTTAAAGAACCGAAGCGGCAGAATTTTGGACTTAATGAATATGAAAATAATTTAAAAATTAAACTTATAATTCTTAGAAGATATGGTAGAATCCTTCCATGCTTATCCTAATTTTTATACGCAACGGTAGTAGACCGAGCTTGGAAGACTAGTGCGTGATTATATTAAATTTTTGTTACTTTTCTCCTTATTTTTTAATTTTATAAAAAATTATGTATCATTTACGTGAAAAAAATAAAACTGATTAGGTATTATGGAAATTCTTGTACAAGTAAGTAATGCTATTTAAACTATTTATAGCATGCATATGAATTGCTCGTATATAGAGAATTTCGTTTTTCCCCTTACCCTTTACGGATACCCCGTATTTACAGAACGGATCGACGCAGGGTCGGACTGGCCATATTATATAGATAACTTTTTTTTTGGGGGGGGGGCAGCCTTTGCAGGCCCCCCTATAGTTCATTATTTATTCTTAACTATATTTGCTTTTGCATAGCATTATGGAATTTGCATTGCATTGGTTTACTTTGCATTAGGGTAGTTCCCTGATTTCTATACAGGGTGAGTCTTAAATAAGTGCAAATATGTTCAGGGCTGGTAAATCTCGATAAAAGAAACATAATTTCTTCTCTTTACCGTTTTTTCAAATAAATCCAAAACAACCGAGTTATTTCACTTTTAAAATTTCCAGTTTTTTGCTATAATTTTGAGAATCATTGGATTTTCTTTCTTGTAAATTTAACCTACTACCTATGTTACCATATTACAAACAAAGTATGTTTTTAAACTAAAAATTAAAAAAAAAATCCAATTTTTTTTTAAATTCCAAATATAAAAAAAAAATTTCGCGCAAAAAACCTCATAATCGTGATTCTTGGATCGAAATATACTACCCTAAAAATATTTGCACTTATTTAAGACTCACTCTGTATATAATAGGGAAAAATTGACCAAAACGTAAGGCGAAAAAATACGCAAAAAAAAACACACGGGTCCCTCCTTACATTGCCCCCCGGGCCTCTTTGGCCTAGTGCGACCCTGGATCGACGTACTGTACTAAAAAAAGATACGACTAAGAATCTGTGTTTTTGCTTTAGCGTGATCGTAACGGAAATTACGGAGATAGCAGCATTTCGGTGGCTATTTCAGATCACTAGGAGTTAGCAGATATTATTGAGTTAAAATAAAAAAAATCTTTAATGGGAAAAAATGTGTTTGCTTTCCCTATTTATAGAGTATTTTTTTCTCTTTATAATGGTATAAAAAAACTTATTAACGTAAAAAATGGAGTTAGCAGGTTATCACGTTTCACTGACGATATGTACATTATTTCGTTGTATAATCTTTTGAATACAACTCGATATTTCGGGATTACCTAATACTTTTACCCGACACTCAATGCGATACCGGCAACACTACCCCTCCTTCAGAGTCGTAGTCAAATATAATAATATAACTTTTGGGTTAAGTTTTAATATGGATTGCCGTATAAAATGAATATTTTAAGTACATAACAATACTGTACAAGGCAATTATCATACACAAGTATTTTTTGTTATTAGAGAATGTTAAATGGTGTCAAAAACCATAGATTTTAGTTATATACTTCACTAGTGAAACTTATGTTTTTTTCATTGGATTTCGCGGCACTCTGTATAAAATAATCGCCTAGAAATCATGAATAACAACATTTTTTTCTGTGGTATGATATATATAATAAAATTTAAATTGATATTTTCATATATTTTCCAAAACCGGAGTAATTCATTTTGTACTGCATTGACAGTATTCAGCAGAAGATAATTTGGGAGTTGAGAATCAAAAATCGTCTTATCCATTCTTGATAATTTTCAGTAAAACCACGTAAAACTATATATGCTCTAGTATTGGCCGCTCTGCACAATCTCATACAGGAGTCCCCGTAGTTTGACAACGGGGCTAAGCGTGGCCTAGTCGCGGGAAACCAGATTTCGGCGCACCAAGATGGGTCCAGAGCTGGGTAATTCAGGCTTGGCCAATCCCATGTTCACCCTATCTTGGGCCACGGGTGGGAAATCAAGTTTTGGCCGTCTCTTAATCCACCCATCATTGGTCCAACACTGGGAATCTAAGCTCTGGTCATGCTACGGCACCCAGCTTTGAACCAGAATTGGTTAATCAAGCCTGGACCATTTTTTGGTGATTTAGGCTTGGCCCAATACTGGGAAATCGAGTCTTCGCCATCTCTTAATTTACCCAACTTTGGGTTAGTTTTTTATTTGCACGATGGCCGCTAGATGGCGACTTCATTAAGAACTCACCATAGACAAGTAGTGTAACGTACTTGACGTGCATTTTTTGTTTGGATCTTGCCAATTCGAGATAGACCATTGTACAAAGAAAACTAGGTATGATCGATAGCGGCTCCAATTTCGTTAAGTTTGCGCATACCACCTGTGACTAGTGATGGGAATAATCGAATTATTTTCACCATCGAATAATTAGTAATAATTCATATTTCACAATCGAATTATTAATTCGAATTATTTAGTAGTATTATAAATTTAACCTAAAAATAAATTCGTCCCAGGTAGTGCTCGTCTAGGGACTATTTTAAACAAATCTGAACCATTGCCATACCTATATTATATCACTGAATAAAAAATAAAAAATAAAATATTCTTTATTCAATGTATTCTATTAACTGTGCCGAAGCCGTTTAATAAATTAAACCATAATTTAAAGTTTTAAATTTAAAAGTGCCGAGTTTATGATTGTTTCAATTCCTATTGAAAAGCTCATATCTAAAATAAAAGCTTCTTCTAAAACGATATAAGTATGTCCTTGTTTACGTGCGGTTCGTGTTTCTTTTTATTTTATCAGTTGCAATCAATAATTATTTAGATAAAAGAAGAAAATTAATTTTAGTGTTTGGTGAAATTTGGTGGAGATGAACCAAATAATAGTAGTATTCTTTCGTTCTGAACGAAATGAAAATTTTCACTTAAACTGATTTATTCCTACTTTGTATAAGAAATAACAATGATTTCTGGATTTTTCTATATCAGATCGTTCCTTTCTTTGTCGATTCCCTTTATAAATCAGTTTAAGTGAAAATTTTCAGTTCGTTCAGAACGAAAGAATACTACTAATAGTACTATACTAATTACTAATATTCGTATTCGTCCATAAGAGGTTATGTTTTTATGTTCATTTGTAATTCGGTTAGCACAGATATAATATAAAATACTACTAATTTTTATCTCGATTATATCGAAAAAGATAATTCGAATTAGTTAGTTTTAATTTACTATCGAATTAGTCGTATTATTTAATTAGAATTTTCCCAACACTACCTGTGACGTCATACGCCATACAAAAAAATATCTATATTGTTCAATTGCATGGTATAAAGAAAACAAGGTATGATCGATAGCGGTTCCAACCTCGTTAAGTTTGTGCATACCACCTGTGACGTCATACGCCATACAAAAAATATCCATATTGTACAATTGCCACTAATAAAAAAAAGACATAAAATAGGGAAGAATTAGGTCATAACCCCAAAAGTTATGTCAAATCATCGAGCTTGACATTTGAAAAATTATTTTCATATTTATTGTGTCATCTGTTTGAGAATTTCAAATTGGCGCGCGGGACTTGCCGACCAATGATGCCGTTTATCACCTGTGACGTAGTGACCAACCTGCGCAATATCATACCTTGTATTCTTTGTATCATGGTTCAATTGCCACTAATAAAAAAAAGACCTAAAATAGGGAAGAATTAGGGCATAACCCCAAAAGTTATGTCAAATTATCGAGCTTGACATTTGAAAAATTA